GATGAAGATATGATTTTTTTTTTTAGAATTTCACAAGTGAACCATTAATTTAAGAGCTAGATTCATACATGGTGTACAAAGACTCATAATTAAAAATTGCAATTTAGGTATGATATCTACGTGGATAAGACTTTTGTCTTCCACAAGAAAATTTTGATTAAAGCACATGGAAGATGTGCCCAAATTTGATGAAGCGACAAGTAACAGTGTTACACATTATTGGACATAAAATTAAATAAAGAGACAAAAAAATGAAATCACGTGGTTTAGAAGTTGTAATGTCTAACATACATTAGTCCACGTGTAATATTCGGGCTTCAAAACGTCATGATCAAAATATGGGTTTTCAGATTCTATATAGTGGAAAAGTTGATTCAAATGCACTTAAATTGAACATTTGTCAAGGAAATTTATTTCTTGACAATAATTGAAAGTGGGTTATCTTACAAGAGTGGTGGATGAAAGTCCCACCGGTCTTGAGACAATCTATGAATATTGTTGATTTTTCTATCAAGGCTCTTTTAGATAATGGTGATATTTTTTCTATTTTGTTTATATTATTATATGAGCGGTTTCTAGCTCCAAAAATGGGGGCGTAATTAAAAAGCATGTAAGCTGAACATTTGTCATCATAGTTCTCATCTTTTTCCTTCATAAATTTAAAAAAAAAAAAAAATTAAAAACAAATTTATTAAGCTTTAAATCCTCTTATGCAATGTATAACATAGGAAATGAGAGAGATTAAATTGGGGACAAGAATTTAGATGTGAGACGATTTTAAAATTGGTAAAGTGCCAATATATATATATATATATATATATATATATATATATAATCCTTTAATAATGTCAGAATTTACAAATAACCCCTTAAAGTATATTTTGTACATAATACTTTCTAAACTACCACATTTAGTTGCAAAATAGTTAAATGCCCTGACTATATTTTATTAAATGATCACAATGCGCTTTCTTATTGAATTACACTTAATTTATTTTTCTTATTCAAATAAATAATGAAAAACATTCATACTAATTGGATGATATATTCTCAATAAATTTTCATAAATTTACCTTTAATTTTTAAATTAATTATTTGGATAAAATCTCAAGTAGAAATTTTTTAAGTAATTTCTTTTTTTTTTCATAAATATATTGCATAAAAAAGTTTTTTTATTTAATTAATTTATTAATTTTTAATGAATATATTGTATGAAAAATAAGGTATATTTACAGTAAAAAAAGTATAAAGTAAGTATAAGAAGTTTTATTACAAATAGTAAAGTGATAAGTTAATCATGTTATATAATGGTAGTTACAAATCTATTTATTTTATTTTTTATGTTTCTGATAAATTGATACTAATAATAAAATTAAGATAAAAAAATATATATATAATTAATAGTTAGATAAGAGAAAAGATAATAAAAATAATTTAATAAGAAATAACAAATTTAATAAGAAAGGGTAAAATAGTATTTTATAATGAATTTCTCCTTATTAATTACAGTAAATCAATAGTTCAATGAGGTAATTTATAGTCAGGAGAGTTATTTACAAAAGTACAATAGTTGAGATTTCTATTTTTTTTTTTTTTTTGCACTTACCCTTTTAAAATTTTAGTATTCTATATTTTGCAAAAATTTAAAAAAAAAAATCAAGAGGACAAGTTTGGAGACACTATAAAATTTTATACTCTCGAGATGAAAATAATTAAACAACGAGAATGAAAATATAAAATTTTTGAAGGGGACATTTCACATTTGCCCCTAGGCCCCGAGTGAACCTTTTTAAAAAAGAAAAACAAAGCATGTTTTGTTTGGATGTCAATAAAAATATATATAAATGAAAGACCCTTTTATACAATTGAGAAAATAACTTAAACAACCTGTACAAATCTTTTGTCACTTTCTTTTATCATTTTTTTTTTTTTTAACGTGAGAACCCTTGTAACTATTCGCCCTTTAAATTTGTACTTATCAGGTAAATCCCAGATTACCTACCTCGGTCTTATCGTACCGATAACATTTTAAGTCAGAAATAAAAATGAACAGATTCGAACCTGGGATATGATGATGTCCAGGTCATTACCTTACTCTTACACTCAAACTATAAAATCATTGTTGATTTGCACGAGTAATGTCAAAACAAATTTTTTTTTTTTTTTTTGGGACAACTTATTTAATGATAATAAGTTAAGATTTAGATTAAAGCAACGTTGCAAAAGCATTGTTCTAAAAAAGATTTAAGCAAAGCGAAGAAGAAATTATTATTTAGAATTTCGCAATTGATACCAATTAAGAACTATAAACAATGTTTGGCAGGTATAAAATTAAAGTTTTAAAATTAAAATTAGTATACTTGGAGAAAAGTAATTTAAAAAATTAAATTAAAATTTTTTTCTATTTCAATTTCGGTACTCTGCGTCAAACACAACCTAAGAGATGTTTAATTGATATTAAAGAAAAAACTTGAGCCTCACATTTTTTTTTTTTTTTTTGTTGAATTTGAGCCTCACGTTTGTTTTCCAAAATATATATATATATATATATATATATATATATATGAGCACGTGATTAAAATTAGAATCTTGGCATAGAAGTTATAATTGAAAAAAAAAAACACACAAAATTAAGCTTCACCGACCTTGAAACATCATAATCGGCAGATTTAAGCAATCTTTATACTTTGAATTTAACGACCAAACCAAAAAGGTGAAAGCAACCTTATCTTAGTACTTATGCTATAAATGTTGGCTGCCAAAATAGGAACTCAAATTCAACGCTATATTGTCGTTTTATTCGTATAAAATTATCAAGTGATTGATACATTATTGATTTAAATCCAAAAAAAAAAAAAACAAATATTTAAGTTATAAAATTAGAACATTGAAATTAAAATTAATAAAATTATAAATTAAATTTTAAAGTTTCAATTCAGGTATAGTTTTATTCTTTTAAACAAAAGTATAAAAAAAATACGAGTATCATTCATTCAATCATAGCAAAAAGTTGGTCCGACACTTAAAAGGAAAGGGACGTGGTAGCTTCGTGTCCTAGAGAATAACATTGTTTATTAGCAGCATTTTCGCTAGTGTTTAATGAGAACCAGTGCTCTCAGAATCAAACTCCACAGGTTTCTGTCACTAAATTTTTCTTTTTCTTGTTTTTTTGCTCATTTTAACTTTGCGACTCGAGGCACCTTAGAGAGTTGAAGAATTTGTGAATCTATATCTATATAGCTACTATTATATATGATTTCTATGTTCGATTTAAAGCAAAATATTTATTAACAGCGGCAACATATGTATTCAAAATTTCAATACTACATGCACAAATAGTATGGAGTTGGTAGTAATTTTTTGTAAAATTATCACAAAAAAATTTCATGACCGGTTGCGGGGCGGGCTTAGAATTCTTAATTTGTTTCGAGCAACGGGAAGGGAATGCAAGAACAAACCAAGAAGATAAAGTAAGGGAGACAATATTGAAATCTTTTAATAATTTCAGGGGGTCACTAATAATATTTTAGGAATATATAGCTAAAAAAGAACAAATTAATAAGATAAACCCGATATGTCAATGTAGGGATATGGGAGATGATGTTCCACCACCTGGTTGTCATCCCTTCTGCTTGCATAATTTGGACGGAGGGAATGGTAACAAGAAGACTGTGTTTGGATTCTCTAATTTCAAGTGAGGCAACATTTGAAAATTTCGAATTCCACGCAAGGACAAATGCATATACCATACTTGCCTTCATGTTATAGTGCAGCATGGACCAATTTGAAAATATTTTACAACCAATCGTCCCCAGCGATTGCATAAAAATTGAAACCAAATCGAACTGTGAACCGAATATATAAATATATTTGGTTCGGTTCCACTGTTTTTTTTTTTTTTTATAATTTAATCTAATATATATAAATATATATGAAATTAAAAATATATTATATATAAAATGTAATTTGCTATTATAATATAATTTTTATTATATATTATGATATATAGTTGAATGGTTTAAAGGCTAATCTTATTTTTTTATTATTTATATAATACAAAATATATACAATTTATAAAATGGTTCCGTTTGTTTTTGTACAACTTTAAATCGTAATCGAACTGTTTATGAATGATTCTATATTTTTAAAACTGTAACCGAACCGAATCTTCAAAAATTATAACAATCTTACTAATTCAATTCGATTCATCGATTCAACCCATTTTTTATACACCCCTACTTGCTTGACAGGATATCTCCAAACCACTATTCACTTAAACTAAATTATGTCATCCATGACAGATGTCATCCATTATTAGAAAATCTACTAGTTATTTATGGTTTAATTAAATAAACCACTACTCACCTAAACCAGCATAAACCAAGTTTAAATTAACCACCTTTGTCTTTAAGGCCCCGTTTGACATTCGATTTATTTCTGCTATTTTTATTTTTGCACTGTTACAATGTCGGTTTTGGCAATAAAAATATATTTGGTGCAGCTTTATTTTATTTTACGTAGTGCTAAAACACTTCGTTGAACAGTGACCCAAAATCAAAATATCAAAAAATTATTTTTTCTTATTTTGATAATTATTCATGACCTAAAATTATAACAGTAACACAACACGACAAAAAAATAAAATACTTAAAATATTATTCTTAAACGTGTTTCCAATTTTTCTTCAAAATATTCTTAAAACAAAAATACTCAAAAATAAAACGCCACAAAACACATGTTAAGCGGCCACTAAATATTGTTATTAGTGCATAATTTTGTTCTTTTTATACAGATGGTGTCTTTTGTTAAAAATAAAAAAAGGAAAAGAAAGTAAAAACAGAAATAATGATTGGCATTGACCTTCTATTCATGCACATGATACATGCATAGGGAGAAGTTATAGACGGCTGTTGTGGTGTATGAGACCAACGAATCGTTTGTTGGATAAAAAAAGATCTCCTCTCTTGACAATATCGAGAAGCGAGTCCATCATCCAACCGGGAAACCAAATAAACCGGTTTCTTCGTCCACTGCCCAAAAATGCTCACTCTTAAAGCCAACCCCAAGCGGGCCTGAAATGTTCCCTCACACGTCCCATCCCCCCTCCTTTACACTTTCTCTCTCTACCACTTTCTCTCTCTACAATGGAATCACACAGTCCGCCATGATTCCACTCCCTGTACCAAACCGTCTCTGTAATGCACCTTCAGAGACTCCCAACTTCTCTCTCCACAAGACCATCTCTCTTCATCTTCTCCGGTCACCGGAGCTTTTACCGCTGACTTCACATATACATATATGTGCGTGTGTTTATTCTCTCTCCATCAACACCTTGTCGATCAAAACTCTCTCTATAATTAGCTACAATATTAGCTACGATCACTTGATTCTCTAATTTCTGATCGTTTTTCGATTTTCGAATTTTCTAATTGGATTGATTGTGTGCTCTAATCCGTTCGTTTGAATTTTGTTTTTAGTTAAACGCGTTGATTGTTGTTCGATTTTTGAATAGAAACTACTTTGAAGCTCAATATTGAAACTGTATATATACACATTTGAACGATAGTCATGTTGGATCTTAATCTCGGTGTTGATGACAATGAGGTCTCGATCATGATGGTGGAGAAGTTTGTTGAGGGTTCCGGAGGAGGCCTGATGGACGAATCAGGCGCTTCGAATTCGTCTAGCGTGAATGCCGAAGCTTCAAGCAATGCCGGCGACGACGACTCGTGCTCGACACGTGCCAGCGGCGGTGACAAGTTCACCTTCAATTTCGGTATATTGAAGGTCGGTGGCGACTTCAGCAATGTTAATTCTGAGAGAGGTGATGACGATCGGAGGAGTCAGTTGGAATTGATGACTAGGCAGCTTTTTCCGGTGGGTGGAGATGATGGAGGAACTCAGGGGCGGAGTTTGGCGTCTTCGTCAATGTCAGTGACGCCTAATTGGGCTGATCTCTCGTTCAAACAAGCTGGTTCTGGTGGCTTGCAAGAGGTGAGAGTCGTACAACAGCAACCACAACCACAACCACAGCGACAGCAGATGAAGAAGAGACGGGGACCGAGGTCCCGGAGCTCGCAGTATCGTGGAGTCACGTTCTACAGAAGAACTGGAAGATGGGAATCGCATATCTGGTTAGTATTCTGGTGGAAATATGTATTCGATTGTGTTGTTACATTTCTGATTTCACTTTATTGTACTTGCGCATAAATTGAACTTCTATTTATATATTTGTATATATATTTTTTGGTGCAGGGACACTGGGAAACAAGTGTATTTGGGTATGGATATAATTATATGATTTTTCTATTCTATTGATTATCATTATTACTTAGGTATTTAGGATTGAATTCTGTTTTTTTTTTCTTTCTATTTTTGGTAATTATTGATATATTTTGATGTTGGGTTGTTAGGTGGATTTGACACTGCTCATGCTGCTGCTAGGTATTAATGGATTTATATATAGAGAACTCTTGTTGGTTTAGCTTAATTTATAAGCTATTTTAATTCATTCGTGTTCATTAATTTCTGGAATCAGAGCTTATGATCGAGCTGCAATTAAATTCCGGGGTGTTGAGGCAGATATCAATTTTAATCTGAGTGATTATGATGAGGATATGGAACAGGTTTGATATTGAACTTTTTGTATTAGATATACAAACGATTGATGTTTCACTTGTAGTGGATTTGATAAGCTGCTGCTGCTGCTTCTGCCATTTTTCTTTTTCTTATTTTTTTGAATGATTTGCAGATGAAGAATCTGACAAAGGAAGAATTTGTGCACATACTCCGTCGACAGAGCACTGGTTTCTCAAGGGGCAGCTCAAAATACAGAGGAGTGACACTGCACAAATGTGGCAGATGGGAAGCTCGAATGGGGCAGTTTCTCGGCAAAAAGTGAGGAATTATTTCATTAAAATTTAAATTTCCTATTGTTGTGTTCTCATGGCTAGCTAGTAAATGCAAGAATTTTAGGTGCTTCTTGGTATGAACTGAGAATTTGTTTTAAATATTTCTCAATGGTATTTCTGTTCACTGTTTGGAAAACATATCTAAGATGCCTATTTGAAAGAACCAATGCTAGGGGACCCAATTTTCACTATGGGAATTACAATGCTCGCATTGCAGGTATATATATCTTGGGCTATTTGACAGCGAAGTAGAAGCTGCAAGGTCCTAATAATCCTGAACTACACTCCTGATAATAATTTATTACCCTGAAAATCTCAACCTTAATAGGTTATCATCCAACTTGTATATCCCTTTTGATTTTTTGGACATTAGGGCTTATGACAAGGCGGCAATCAAATGTAATGGAAGGGAGGCTGTCACCAACTTTGAGCCGAGTACATATGAAGGGGAGATGATATCTGAAGACAATAATGGAGGTATTATTTGATACTATCATCCGTTCTTATGTTTGACATTTTCAAGGATGCAATTATTATTGTCATCTGCAATACTCACTACATATATGTTCCCTCTTAACTGTGCCAATGAATTTCTCAATGCCTCTGATGCAGATATCAGCCACAATCTTAATCTTAACTTGGGGATTTCAACACCTTCTTTTGGAAATCATCCAAAGGAAGACAAAAGTTCAGGGCTTGTCCAATTCCACCCTTATGATGTGCATGATGCAATGAGATCAAAGGTAATATTCAAAATCAGTCATCTTATATTGTTATCATCCTAAGTATTTATATGTAGTTTTTTTTTTCTTTTTTTCTTTTTGGTTGGCAAGGAGTAATTAAATGTAGTTCCATCATGAGAATCCACAAATTTCATATTATGTTAATTTATTCTCATTGCAAATACTTGTGGATTGATCAGCCTAGTGGGAAACTCAATATGGGATATAGAGAGCCTGTAGAAATCCAATCTATTTGCCTCTAGCTGAACAATGAGAATTAATTTGGCTTGTTTGGTCCTTTCTTCTTATTGTGGATGATTTGAAACATGTCATCTCTACATTTTAATGATGAAGTTGTTTACAATTTATTCCCTCTATGTTCTGCTGCTACAGATGGTGAACCCTGCTATGACAAAAGCTGGTAATCAATCTCTTAAAGCACTAGAAATGGCATCACAGCATCCTTCCTTATGGGCTGGTATCTATCCCAATTTCATTGCACCCTATGAGGTATTTGCCTCCATTTTTAGTTCTATTTTATTTCATTCTTTCAATCAATCATCCAAGCTGAGAACTAGTTTCTCTCTTTTTGGGGGGTACCAATATGGTAATAATTACTGTAACCAACGTCACTTGACTTGGCAAAAGACAATCTTCCTGCAGTTGTATTCCTTGTAGATGCAGCTTGTTAGGAAACCATTTAAGAGGCTGGGAATTTGTGACATTCCAAATTTTCACAAAATCCGGATAGTCAATATGACCCAAAAGTTGACCCAATAACGGATCCGAAATGTGACTCAGGCGCGCGCATGGCATCCAGGGGCATGCACATGCATGCGCGCGGCGCGCAAGGGCGCATGCATGGTGCTTGGCCCTGGTGCCCTCGGCCGCGACGACGCCCAATTTTGTTTTCACCTGTTCTCTTCCGTCCAGTCTCCGAATCAGGTGATTTTTGAGTCTAACTTCGTTAATTTTTCGTTATCTATCCAATGTTGTGCTCGGTAGCACCTATAACTTTTTGAAATTACGATTTTGCCCCTAGGGCTAAAATTACCCATTTTTGTTATCGCTTCCGCTTTTTTGTTTTCTTTTGAACTCTGTGACTTCATGGAAAGTCACTCTAGCGTTCTTGGGATGCCGTTTATCCCTAAGAACCTTGTTTTCTTTGTTTTCGCTTCCGCATTTCAGATCCGTTATCGGGTCAACTTTCGGGTCATATTGATTATCCGGGTTTTGTGAAAATTCGGAATGTCGCAAAATTTTTGTTTTTAATTTAGTGCAATCCATGTAGATAATATTTTTCTTTTTGCTGCTATTATGAATATAAAAACTTCATGATTATAACATACAATCGATAGAATGGTCATTAGATTATGGTCATGGATCAGTCATATATACAATTTTTATACATTTACAGTTTATCTACTTGCTCAACTCAATTCAACAAAGCCTTTTGGAACGGGCTTGGCTTCATATAAGTGAAGGAAGCTCAACTTGATCTCAGTTCTATCAAGCTTTCCCAAGGACTTGGTTTTGGCTACATGATCTTGTTTTTCTATTATGCTGCATGGGCCATAATTTCATTCAAATCACATATTACCAGATCTTTCCTTACTATGTCTTTTTCCTTCCCTAACATTACCCTCAGATCATATTACTCTCCTTAACATGTTAAGACACTCGTATATGTTTAAATTAAAGCAGGTTTACTTTAGTGCAATTGTACGCCTATATAACATGTTAAAGCTCATACCGGTTGCAAAACTGCATAACAGCACATTTTCTTTATTTCAAATCATTCTGAATCAAGATTTTTATCGGGTGTATTGTATAATGGTGGAACTATGGAAGCTTGCCTTCATGAATGGAAGGGTAAAAGGAGAAGAGGAATACAGGGAATAAAGGAGGGAGGCGATCTTTGTTATCATGTTATTTGAATTCAATGCAAAAATGCTTTACTATATAAACCTTTATGTTGGACTGAAATTGTAAATTGTTTGGCAGGAAAGAGCAGCTGAGAAAAGAATTGAAGCAGGTTCCTCACAAGGACTTCGGCACTGGGTCGGACAAATGCATGGTCAGGTTAGCGCTACACCATTGACATTGTTCTCTACTGCAGCATCATCAGGATTCTCATCTCCCACTACCAGTGCTCACTCGGCTGTCATTAATCCGTCAAACTGTCTTGTACCAACTGGCTACAATCATCTGTCATGGCCGCCACCAACACCTCTCAATAACATTTTCCAGATGAACCAACTGCCACACCCACCATAGTTCTCCGCCGTCTGTTTCAAATATGGATATGATGCAGATACACCAACACATTGTTTCTTGAATTCATCTTATGTTTCTAGTATTTGTTGATTGACATACTTGAAGGATATACTTTTGTGGATTCTTTAGTAGACCACACTGGGGTTTGATTCGTTTTGATGCTGAGAAAATGTTAATTTCAATTGCATAACCCAATTGTTAAATTTTTGCTTCTTTCTTGCCAAAGTGTTGTTTTCTATAGAGGGTTGAATTAAAAGTATTCTGTTTGTCAGAGAAAGAAAATAATACATAAATCCCATCTTTGTTCATAGAGTGTTGTTTTCTATAATTAGTCTGCGCTAGAAATGGCTACAGCGGAAAAAATCTAAAATGTTTGTGAACATCTCGGATTATGCAAATTGAGTTCCAGTGCCAAGTTTTATTAGGCTAAAAACCATTGAGAAACTGTGTACAAAGCTTGGTCTGGGCATATGAAAGAATACTACAGTAAATAAACACATAGTGGTGCTTAAGTATAGTTTGGTTTAAATTAATCCAGATTCAACTAAAAGTTACTTTAGAGTCACCAGTGACACAACCAAATTCAAACTAATGAGCACAGCCCTTGGTACTTAAATTTGGTCAAAAAAATATGCTCAAAAGAAACCCACGTTCAAATAAATGCGTACCATCAGTTGTGGGACTTTTATAAATAAAAAAGAAAGAAAGGAACATTTGTAAGACTTGTTTTTTAAGCTTATTCATAAAGATAAATAATACTACATAATTTTTTAGATTTTTCACAGAGAAGAATAAATATCGTTAGAGTAATGATATGGCAAATTTAATCACCTAAGACCCGAAATTGCCACATCACTCACTCATTCATTAAATGGAAAATTCTACAATTTAAAAATGATTACTTTACTTTCAAAATATCATTCAAACCCCTCCATGTTTTTTCTCTCCTTCAAATAATCATCCAAACCCACCCTTATTTTTCTTTCAAAATTCCTCCATCTCTGTCACTGTCCTACCCGCCTCTCCACCTCCACCACCACCATCTCTGTATTGCCCCCACCCCTCCACTGCCACAATCCCTCAGCTTCACATCTCTTCCTAAAAGACTTCCAAATTTGTTCCTTCTCAATGACCCATCAAACTTTTCAAATTACCTATTCATTTCTATTGTCTTCTTTATTCAAAGAAGACCCAAATCAACAGTACACCATTACAAAGATGAGTAGAGCCATTTTCCTTCACAAAGCCCTAATGAAGTTAGAAATTAGGGCATATATGTGAGAGATGCGAAATCGAAGAGAGTTAGAATTGGAGAGAGGAGAGAGGAGAAAAATTATGATTCATTTGCTGGTATGAAGGGACACCATTAATTTTTCGAGTGAATTGTTATATTGAATGTTGGATCGGTGATGATGATACAACCTTCCTTGTTCATCGCTTGACCCAATCAGATTAACTAAAGATTGTAGATCATGGAGGGGAATTGCATACTTATTGATGTTAATATATATATTTATATAGAGAGAGAGAGAATCATTTTGAATGAGTGATGTGACAATTTTGGGTAATTTGACTGCAATATCATTACTCATACCATTAACAACTACAATTACGTGTTCCTTTTGAAAGATTCTTTAAATTAGCCTTTGCCGTTTATTTTCCTTCAGAAAATGGATAAAATTTCATTTGCGATTTTCCCTATTTGCATAGTTCAGTGAAATTTAGGAGAGGATAGAAATTCAGTGAGTATACTGGTAAATGCAAATATAATTCTATAGATTGTTTATTTTGCATTTTGTCCAAATTTAATTTAAAAATAAAAAAGTACTGCCTTCTAATGGTGGGAAAGGAAAAGGGAACCGTTCTCATTCATTCCAAAAAACTTTAAAGAAGTCTCTTGGGTTTGTCTCATTATTAAAATACCTAAATGGAGGCAGACGTTCATATTGACGAAGTTATAATTGAGTTATTTTAAATAGCTTGAGATATCCAATGCAAAAAGGGCTCAAACGATGATAAGATCTGGCCCTTGTATTTCACCAACCAGTAAATTCACACAATTAAAAATGCTTTACTAAAATCCTTTACAATCTTTTACATTGTATTAGTATCGTTTCGGCATATTATGCTACAACTCTCATTGTTCAACTAACGAAATCTTTCGGCAAAAAGAGGCATATAGCATCATAATATACTTTTAAAAGGCAGGAGTTGCAACAAGACTTTTTAGCATAACAACCATAAGCAAACGGTATGATAATATCAAAATCATCTTTAACTCCATGTATTCATTCAATTGTTAGATTATCCTGCTGCTTTTCTGTTGGGTAACTGGGAGCAAAACTCTCAACATCACGAGGATATCACCTGCTAGTTAGATCCGAAACAGCGTCCTGTTTAACAACCTTCATGTCAAGCATGGATCTGAGCTTTACCTACAATACACAATAACAATCATATGAATACAACCATACAAGATGAAGTAATCAATCACACACGCTAAATTTGGTCGGCAATAGTCAAAACTCATCTCAGTTATATAGCATATAAATGATTTAAATTTAAATAATTCGAAGAAAGATTGTGATTAACTAATGGATAACAGAAAGTAGTTTGTTCTAAGAGGAGAGATTATAACTTGAGCAAATTTTAAACTCGGAAGAATATTGTATTCCTAAGACGGTGTCCTATTACAAAAAACATTTTTCCAGTCTGTTAGTACTTCATCTCCCCTATTCTTGAATCGACAATCACCAAATGGATAACCTCCTAACAAATGAGTAGCATCTAGAATAGCACAAGGAACATCTTCACTCACGTTCACCTCGGGGTGAGTTGTGCACCTTGGATCTCAACTAGACCAAATAAAAGCAATACTCTACTACACTTCTCCATGACCTTAAATCAAGCGCACACTGTGCTGTAAGCATACGCCTTGATCTCGACCATCACCCTGCAACACCTAGGTCCTCAATCAAAGCCACCTCTGAGAGCATGCAACCCTGATGCACTTTATTCCTGTTAAGTCAAAAGCATGACCTGCTAAGCTCTCCTCAAACTCGCACTCTGCCATAATTCTTACCTTAGGAGTTACATGACATTCCAATCTATAGACCCTAGGGGGATCATGGCTTGGTGGTTGACACTGGGAGCTCGCTGCAATCTTTACTTTGTGAAGTGTCACCTTGGACGTTTTCACCATAAGCAGCACTGACTATATTCCACTTGACCAACATTAATCCTCTTACCATGTTAGCATCTCCTTGGACTCCTACAAATAGTCAATTCTTCAAAAGTGTCACTAAAGTCATTGAGCTCCATGCATGCATATGGAATTCCCTAATGACTGTTATATAAACTCTTCAAAAGTGTAGGTGAAATACTAGTGCTGAACACACAACACTCGAACATGGATATGGAATTCTGTCCAACACCTTTGGTTAGACATGCACAATAATCCAATTTTATTCTATTGTTGCTTCAGAACAAGCGAATAACCTATATTGAACGCTGTAACATAAAGTCGTCATTATAGTCTCGAAAGTAAAATAAATACTATATAATATGAATATCACCTGACACATGTACCCATGTAACACAGGTAAAATTGCTTCAATATCTGCATATGAAAACCTACATACAATCATTATGTCTATTATGCACCTAATATACATTTATAAAAGCAGGATTGAATATAAATAAGTATGTGTGTGTGTGTGTGTGTTCCTATCAACATATATACACAAACAAGCATATGCACCAATAAATGTTTAAACAAAACTTAAGCCTACAGATATGCATAAATATGTGTCTATGCATGCGCTCATATTAGTTCGCATATAAACCTCCATCCGCTTAAAATGCTTATATAAAATAATATAATAATGTATTACAGAATCACAAATTTGCATCCTACAGGCAAATTCATGCGTTTACTTTTATGGGCCTAAATATGTAGAAACTACGGATTCGAGGCAGGAGGCAAAAAAAGAAAGTTAAAAATTTGCTTTTCTTACTTACTTTTAAAAAGGTCCAACCAAGCAATACCACTAAAAAAAAAATCTTGCTCATCAATGAAAAGGTTAAGTGCAACTCAGGTATAATCCAACTCTTGCCAACCTAAAAATGCAATTCCTTTTCTTTCACACACAAAAATCAATTCCTTTTTGCAAAATTTGACAACTGAAAGAAGCCCAAACAACTAATGTTCAAAAAGGAATCTGTAACAATCACCACTGAATTTGCTTTGTTTCTACATAAAAATAAAAAATAAAAAAAGGGTTCATCCTTACCTGCTGGTTTCTGCAAACCCCTGTTTGGGAGGGTTTGATCCTTCACCAATCTGTGCAGTCAGACCAATTAAGAGTCAATTTCATCCTTCTGAGCGCAAGGCTGTAATTCAAATGACACCTGGTCATTTGATTTCTCATTTTGCACGAATCTTTCGTCCACGAAGCCAAATATGTCACCTCAATAAAGTTAAATCCCAAATGTCCGGTTATATAGATTGCCTGAACTAGGCATCCGGAACTTCGAGTCGTCATAATTAGTATAAACCTTGTTAAATCCCAGCCTCTCAGTTCTGAGGAGATCCGCCATACCAAGATCATTTCCACTCTGAACCTCATTCCAACCATCCCTGTGGCCATTTGACATAAGTGCATTTCTAGACTGTTGAAGAGAGAATTGCGAAAATGGGGATAGATTGCTACTTGGAGATTGCTCCATAATTCTTGAAGGAATTCCATAAGCATCGTTGACCGAAGAAAAATTATCCCCCATGTCAGAAAATCTCAGATTCTGGTGCATAGAAAGAGATCTCTGTGCCAATAATTGAAGTCTCGCCTCGTTTTCAAAAGCACTCAACTGTGGGGAGAAATTTGATCTCATGTCTAAGCCTGGATTATTAAGACCACCAGGAATTCTCCCCTTCCCAACTGCCAAAATTGCAGGATCCATAAATTCAATGTCCCCCATGCTAGCAACATTCCCAGTTGGTGGAGCCTGGTACGGATTTCTAAATGAGGAGGAATTATCAAGGAAACGATTCCCTGCAAAGTGGATAATTAAAGAGAGATGAATTTCAACAGGTTTCAAAACGAAGATGAGAGAGAGAGAGAGAGAGAGCTTTCAACACTTTGACAAAACAAAAACAACAAACAAAATAACTAACCAGACGAAGTGTCAAAAGCCTGTTCAACTCTCTCGTGAGAAGTAAACCCTGGTGGTGGTGCTCTGCTGGGCACAGAAAATCCAGGAGGGGCAGATATTTGAGATCTTGAAACTGTAATAAGATACAAGCAGCATGGATTAGTCAGTAGGCACATACAGCACAGTAATATTAAATCTGATAACTAAACAATGAATATACTAGATAGATTAGATGTTAAGTAAATTACGCTCACCAGACGGCTTATTAGAGGAGAGATGAGAAAGGCTGCCGGCAAAATTATCAGATTCCTCAACACTGGGGGAAGAAAAACCATTACAATTACCAAACATATCAAAATAAGAATCTTTGTTTTCGACAAAATCACGGCCGAAGGTACGGTTCTGTGGCACTTGACCAATATAATTACTGATAGATGGTTCAACATCTGATTGTTTAGATTCTTCCTGTCTTGCAAAGGAGAACCTGGACTGGTTGCTGTTTTGCACTTTCCATGAACTTGATACTTTAACGGATCCCTGTGGCTTTTCAGCTTCACCCAACAACCTAGCCAAATTCTGGGGCGAGGTTAGCGATTCATCCCATGCATCACAGTCCAACGACAAAATATTCGATATTATGCTGCTCTCTCCAATATCCGGAGCAGTATTGCAGGTAATATTGGCCGATTCACCTTCAAACCTTTCCATATGCTTCCTTTTCCCTTCACTTGGAAGTAAATAGGAGGATTCAAAACTCCTGCCCAAATCACCAGAACCACTGGCTAGGTTCTCAAGGTATCCATTAGATGCTACCAGAACCCCAGAGGCATGCGGAAGGGGAACTTTATCAGCTATGTTACCCACTATACGAGGATCTACATTGAAATTAATTGGACTGTAAGCCTCATGCTGAGGAGAGTAAACCCTATTTGGATGATGAAAATTTTGAGATGGATTAGAAAAGTAACTTGCAAGAGAAACAACTTCTGGGTCCTTCAGTCTCTCACCATCTATAGATGGCATGGCCTCCTCTTTTTCACAATATGCACTTTGTGATACTTGAGTTTCTAACTCTGATCTCCTATCAAATGTTTCTCCAGCAACAAAAATTTCATTGGTGGATGTCACAGCATTCCCTGCTACAAGTGAAGTTGAAGGTTCTTTAAACTGATCGGCATCATATTGTTGTAAACCCCAATTACCAGGTGATTTACTTGAGGCATTATCAGAAAGTGAGGACTTATGTCTGGTGTCACTAGAATGTTCATCTCCTGGGTGTCTATCTACACTCATTGATGACATGTCAGAGCATAAATTCTGAATCCTTCTATCGGTAGAAACATTAAGATCTTTTTCTGGACCAGGGTCACAGCCCTCCGAAACAGAATTTGTAAAAGTGGGTGTAATACTGACATTTTTATCCTTTGATGACGGTGGGTAATATAACTGGCTGTTCATAGTTGTAGCAGAAGGTTCTGGTGTGAAACAAGTCTCAGGTGCAGTTGCTCGACCATCCACGTCACTGAACTGTTTCACAGAAGCCACTGGCTCTAGCCTACCCTTATGTGGAATTGTGTGACCCTCTTCATTAGGAATAAACTTCTTTACTACATCGCCATGCAATGTAGAAATCTGAGTTGTGTTTGCGACTGCTGTGGAAAATGCCATTGAGCCACTAAATGAGTCAGTTTTCTGCTTGGAAGGTCCATTTGAACAAGCTAAACTTGTCAATGGTGGGTGGCTATTTGAGGCACGCATTCCCCTGGTAAATATAGGGAAGTTTTTAGTGATAACAATTAACAAATACGGATTAAGAAAAGTAATAAACTAATTCAATTAATCAAATACCAAGAGGCTGCTGCTGGAAGAGTAACTGATCTACCAGAGCTGCTATTTGGCGGAGAACCTCTAACACTTGGCGGATTCTGCCAGATAGATATGGCCAGAAACAATCAGAATGAGTGAACAAAAACCTTTCAGAATAAAAGTTACCCAAATAAACAACCAGAAAATAGAGTCAGTGGAAAATCATCTAACATCACAACTATTCAACTTAATCGTTGAATTCAGAGAATACTTTTAATACTTGTATACTGAAATGCAAGTTGCCTACAAGATCTCTTAATCTCTTCATGTAATGACAAACATAGCTTAACCATAAGGAAGTACGCACCAAAAAACTACTGCTTGAAGCAATGTATTACTTTCTTATGGGTACAAAAAATGAAAAACTTACATTTGTAGGACTTTTACTAATAGGTTTCCCAGAAGATGCGGAGCTGTTACTGCAGTACTCATCTGCTGGTGATGGTAGCACATTTCCCGAACGCCTTTGCATATTATTTGTAACACCGGTAATTTGTTGAACTCTACTCCTTTAAAATCACTACGTAAGTTAATTAGCTATCTAATAAACCGCCATAGAACATCCAATCAGAATAGAAAGCCAAATGATCTTTGATGCACACCTAAAATAAAAGGAATTCTAAATGGATGTGTCAAATTATGAAGGTTTTAGATTTGTCTACACCAAAAATTTGAATCCATTTGAAGTCATTTCAAAATCAAAAACTGAGTTTAATCCTTAAACAGTTTTGAGAGACTTCCGATTTGAACAAGTTCAAAATATAATAAAATATAGATAGAGTAAAAGCAATCACCATAATTAAAAGGAATGTAAAACCAAGGCACTAGCCATTGGATCCAAACCAAACCATATAAAAGTCATTTTGTTCGAGCCAGTTTGGATTTGAGAATTCACTTCCTCCTTTCTTTTCTGGGTTTTTCTTTTTCACAGCAAGTGTGGAAAGTCTTCAAAGTTTTAAAGGTTACTTTTCTTTTTAGACTTGAAAGGGCTAAAGCCTGATTTCTTTTTGTTTCTCTTTTTTATGGATCTCTAGGCTAATCCCAACAGAAGACCCAGTATCAAAAAATGGAGAATATGAAAAACTTCAGTATATTGTTGAAACATTTTTTCTAGATCCCTCAAATACCAGGTATGAAGCCTCAAAGTAACCAGATAGAGTGAGTGCTAGTAAATTTACAAGTTCTAAAATACTTTATCCAAGAAGCATGAATTAGTGGGAAAAGAAGCAGCTTCATTTGAGTCACTTGAAAAAGAAAAAAAAAATCTTTTCAAATGGAATTAGTTTCAAGTGATTCTCACCTATTTACCAAATCAGACTTCCTGTTGGGGCTCATTATTAATCGTTGTGTAAAAGAATCGAGTTAAAGTTATATATGTAAATTAGTTATATTATTAGATCACTTTCTATAGACAAGTTCAATTTTGTCGTCATCTGATTTACCCGACACTTTTAACAGAGTTGACACAAAATCGGTCAGTTATAATATTCCTTAAACCAATACCATACCCAAATTCCCTGTAAAAGGACAAAAATGCAGCCAGGTTTGGTCAAGATGGTTCTGTTCCTGGTTGCACAGACCAACTTCACAGTATAACAAGGACTCTGATAATTTTGACAAATACAAATCATCATGTTCTTAAGATCTCAAGGAATTTAAAAACGATATCATGTCCAATAGTCTTATCCTGAATAATAACTCTTCTATATTTCCACATACTTTATGAACATAAGATGTTCACTCGTATAATTACTCCAATATAACACAAACATGAAAAACCCAATTGTTAATTGAAATTCACAGAATATATAGAAGTACATAGACTGAGGAACTAAAGTTCAATTAACACAGGAAACGGGCAAAACAGACAATCGGAGGCATCAGAATATGAAGATACCTTGTATATGCTGATATTACTTCATCCTTAGTGAAGCTATCCTCTTGTGAACCAATCTCATGTAAATACAAACAATCAGGATTGCTGCAAGGCTGGACCATGGAAGAAAAAAAAAATTTAATTTAACTATACATTAAATCAATTTTACCTAAAAAATTAAAACAAGAGCATTCATGAAAAATGGAACACTGACTGCAATTGATAATTCACTAAGAAATCATACCACGTTCCTTAGCCATGCATGACAATATTTCGTGGTTCCAAAGCATGCCCTGTGATATATAAACTCTAAACAATTATTGAAAAGAAATATAGAATAGATAATAATCATGAACATAACCATGTGCACACCTCAAAGATCTACCCTCCAAAACAAACCCATGTACAGATTGAATACAACGAACCGCATCCTCCTCCTTGGAGTAAGTAATATATCTGAGCAAAAAATAACAATTGAGAACAGAATCCTCATTATTAAATTATAAACCAAAAAAGGTAAAAAGCCAGGAAATCCGCCATCTGATCTCATGACAAGAACAAAAAAGAATTATAAGTACAAACAAAGGCACATAATTTTAAATGAGAACAGTACTTGCTCTTTTTCCTTGTATATAATAAAAAAATGAGATTGGGATTCAACTACACAAACAGAATATTCAAGGAAAGATTTATAAAACATTTGATAACTTTTTCTTAAACAACAAATGTCACTTCTAGAAAGCACTAGGACCTAGAAACATTGAGAAAATTTGAAACTTACACACTACAAGTATTGTTTGCAAAATGTTGGATAGCACCAGCTGCGGTCCGAGAAATTGACACTTTCAGCACCTTTCCATACTGAGCAAAATATTCTTTGCGCTGAAGAACCTGGTTACAAAATGATAGCATTGTCAAACTAAAGGACAGAAAAGGTGAGATAGAGATAAGAGGGGATAAGTACATACTTCTTCATCTGCTAGATTAAGAGGCAACCCCACAATATAAACAAGGTTCCGCTGAATCACCCGCACACTGCTAAGTTGCTTCCTTCCTTCAGATGTTTTACTTTTTGACTTCTGTGATTTTAGTTTTCTCTCTGTACTCATCTCAGCCACCAACCTTTAAGGAGGAGGAGGAAAATTAACAAATTTTTGAATGAGACTGGAAAACAAAATAAGGGAAAAGAGGGCCAACATTGTTGCGGGACTTTCATCTCAACAGAATATTTATTGACCAGAGAATCACCTCTCACAGTTTGCTGTGGTTCCTACAATCTTTTCCTTGTTATAAGGGGTACGGCACGCTGGACAGCGCCCTTCTGTATCGTCCTTCTCAGCCATGTCCATAATGTGATGCCAGCACCAAACACAGATCTGCAAAAATGCAGAAACATACCCAAAATAAGCTTTATACAAGTAGATTGACAAAATAAGGGCCAATAAATGTTGCACAATCAACAAATTCAATGCCACAGGAAAGGCAAGCTTTGCTGAGCTATCAAAGCTTTACTTTTTCATGACTTACTTCACACCTTTTGCTGTGTTTTTTAATAAGCAAATTTAATGGTTACAAGAACATATTTTTAGCCAATATACATACCATATTAGGTATAATTCATATTTAGAAAGTTCCCGCTATGCGTAATTAGGTAGTAGGATAGAATAGGGCCTACGAATTGGTAACAGTACAAAAAAACAAAAATAAAATAATATTGCATAATTTTCAATAATTATTTTCCGATTTAGCATATATTCAAGATTCATCCAGGGAAAATAGATTTATGATGTTGCTCTTTACCACATCATTCTTATGCTAATAGATATTCAGCAAATTTCATCGCTGATTCAATGGACAATAATGCAAATGTTGTAGTCCCTAGCAATAAAAATTGTAATCAATGTTTGTCACATCTGGAGAATACTGCTTCAAGCTCAATATCTAGAGAATAATTTGAAGATGATTTTTTCTCAAGTGGATGTCAAAAATGTGCTTCTCATTTACATTCCTATAAGTAATTTTACCATTTTTTGGCTACATAAGCACTAAATATTCCAAACCAGAGGCCAAATATACTGCTTCAAGCTCCTATGGGGAGAGAAACGATTTGGAAAATAGATTTACTAAATAGCATAGAATAAATAACCGTAGGAATTGAAACTTCCACTATTTTACACCTTGCTTTGAGAATTTGAATCTACATACAAGAATAAAACTAGTGACTAGTTTTGCCAGCAGTACGACAAAGCAAGGCAAATTCCAGTTGTTTTAACAAATTCAAGAGTATCCGACAGAAGATGTGTCCATGAATGACCTTTTTAAAAGATACAGAACTAAAGGAACCAACTAAACTAAGACCATATCATGAAATTTCCACCACTTTGTACGCGTGATCTGAAAACATGAATCTACATACTAACTAATACTAGTATTGCCAGGATTACACCACCACAAGTATGAGATCTAGTGAATAAGATTCAATGGTATCGGGCAATTTGTCCACTAGTCTTTTTAGAAAATATGGAACTAAGGGACATGCAAGACTGGAACCAGCTATAGTAGAACAGTACCATTAAAACCTAGACTAAACAATGGAGAATAAAAGCATTTGTATTTGACATACCAATTCAACTATTTTCTTTATCATCTTAATATAATATACAAAAGGGGTAACTACACAGAAATTTCCCAACAAATGTTGTAGGATTCATGAAATGAATTGGCACTGCAAATAAATTGAAAGATTGATCAACGTAAAACGATAAGAAACGACTTGGCAACAAAAAAATACATTCTGAAGAACATCAGTATGTTTTTAAAGGTGACTTTAATAAGGTTGCTGAAAAACTATTATGTACAAGATCCACACAATTATGACGATATCATTAAGCGAGATTATTATGGCGATATCAAAAGATTTGTGAGGTTGTGTTGGGGGCAGACAGAAAGTTGCTCAGGTAGGGATTTATATCATCCCACATTCAAACAAAAACTATCAGAGATTCCAGAGAGTCTCATACAAATCTGAAAGTTTAACACAGCACCTATTCATGCTGTTAAGAGGTATAGAATAGGACAAGTAGAACATCAGTGTGTTTCCAACACCATAAGCAAACTCAGTGAAAATTAAATTCTCCATCTATGTAGAGTTTATTGCACATAAATAGTATGCTTTATTCTAGGTCAATGTATAATAGTGTAGTTCTTGTGTAAAACATTAAATAGCCTGTTTAAAATGATTATCTGCAAGAACAAAAAAGTGTAAAGTACCCAATAAGCGCCATGTATAACAAATAAAAAATAAATAAATAAATTACGAACCTCATAGCCACATTTGCAGGGCTTTAGTTGTTGATCAGTCAAATCCATCTCTTCAGCACAGAGAGGACAAGTCTTTTCTCCCTCGTCGCTCATGGTTGCCTTGAAAGGGAAAAACATAAAATAAGATTGTAACAAAAATATTCAACTTAATTTTCGGAATAAAAACAAATACAAAAATATTCAACTTCACCTCACCAAAATAAAATATATATTCAACTTCCTAATCCATTTTCCAAAACCCGAAAACATAAATGATGGAATTCCCTAATTGCTAACAAACCCTACTTTTTAGTGGGGAAAATAAATAAAAAGGCTCAAGGTGGAAACTTAAATCAAAACACAACATTTAACTTGGCACAGAACAGTAAATTGATAGTGACTGAAGTGCCAGCTTTGTAAGATCTACATTCACTCGGTCACATTACTGAAGATTATATCAACACCCCTAAATAATTAAGAAACAATAGTACTGATAACAACATGTTCTCAAAAGTCGCAAAACCCTACTAAGACGGAATATAAAATTAAAACACTTCGAGCTTCACTCAATTCTTGTTCCCAAATCAACTGAATACCTAAACCCTAACCATTCAAAAATTTGCCACTCTATTCAATTAAATAAATCATATCTGGCATCGAACCACGTAAGAGCGATAACAATTCTTGGCAGCTTAAACTAGTTTATCGATCAAGAGCGATAACAAGATAAAATTAACAGTATAAATGAAAATTAAAAACAGATCGAGATAAACTATCTGTCAGAATAAATCAGACCAAATGTAAACGCAACTCAACTGCAAAAATCAGAACTTGATTACTAATTCCCAATCGAAAAATCGCTTGCATGCGACATACAAATTCACATATACCAACCAAGAAAACAAAGATTATATAAGAATCGTAAACAAAGCCGATCAACAAAAGCAAACAAAAAATCAAATTGGGGATCTAGAGATAAAGCAAGTAATATATAGAACGATTGATGAAAAGATAGGGTTTGAGATTGGAACTCGAAGACTTACAGTGGTGGTGGTTGATCGAGAAAAGGACGAATCGAAGAGGATGAGATTGTAGAGAAACGCACGATGTAAAGCAAGAGATGTAGAGAGATAGAGAGAGAGAGAAGAGAACCACAAGGCGTTGTATATAGAGAGAGAAAAAAAGAGAGAGGAAAGAGGGTTTAATATATTAAGAGGCTGTGCAAATGCCCTTGGATTTTGAGATGAATTACGAAAATACGCTCGTCCTCCGTTTTTGTCGAGCTTGGGAGCTGGATGTTACGGAAGGTTAAAAAGACGGAACTACCCTCGTACTCTGTTTGATTTGTCCAGTTGCACGGCTCTTTCATGCAGCTCTTGTGGGATATGATTTTCTGCTCTCCACTCTTGGGGTTAATGGCAATTTGTTAACTCTCTAGTCATTAATAAAATGACTATTGTATTACATTAATTTGAATGTCAATATTATTAATTTTTTTTATTATTATTTGGCCCTATTAATTATGATAACAAATGATAAATTATTAGGTAGTTGTGAATCACATCTCACCGGGTAATCCAATTCAATTAAAACTCATGTTCAAATATATTTTTATAATTTTTTTTTTCAAGGTAAGCAATATTAGAAGTTAAATTCATAGATGTAGAGGGTTTGAGCCTGACACATAAAGATTCAGGGAAGGCACTAATCCACTGAATTATCGAGACATCTGTCTTTTTTATAATATATATGTTCACTTTATTTAGATAAAGAATTTTGATTAAACTGGACTAAGGGCTTTGGATTAACTTTTCAAACCTGTTTTTGGCTTTTTGGTCTTATAAGCTGTTTTGGGTAGTGTTTGACTAGTTTTTAAAAAGAGCTTTCAAATGGTAGAAATGCATTTTGGAGAAGCTGATACCCCACTTCTCCAAAACACTCTTCTAAAATATATGGGAAGAGTTTTGGGGACATTAATAAAACTTTTTAAATGACAAACATACCCTTTATATTATCTCATAAAAAATTATAATTCCAACCATATCTCTGTAAAAAACCTCTTAATTCTATTTCCAAACCCTAATGTCAAAAAAAACTCACATCCGTGCTCTCTGCAACGTATTCCTTCATACTCACGAGAACGATCCATCATGCATTCAATTAGAGAAAAAAATTTAAGAAGATTATTGTTGGGGGCAATTATTTCTTTATTGTTTAAGTTCGAATAATTCATCTAAGCTAGAGAGAACCGGTGGCTATACTCTTTCAATCTTCCAATCTATAATTTGGTATTTCTTCTCTACCTATTTCTTCATGTTTTTTTTTTTTTTTCCCCCTATTTTCTCTAAATATTTTTGAAACTCCCCCACGAACAATCACTAACTTTCTAACTTTCATAAGAATAATCACCATATCTCAACGCTCCATCCTACCGTCACAAACCTTTAATTTTTTTTTTTCACACTCAAATTAATTTCCCTTTTTGTTGTAGCAATGGATTCCAGTTATTTATCCAAAAATAAAGTTTTTTTTTTATCAGATTAATTCATCGGCATACCATTTTTTTTTTTATTAGATTAATTCAACGGCATAGATCTTCCCTGTATTGCAATCAATCCCATTGGAACATTAAACGGCGTAGCAATATTTTTCTTTCTTTCTTTTTTTCATTAATTTCCTTATAATATAATTAAGTTTCCTTATAATATAATCAAGTTTGTTATTATAAGGAAACAACAATATTATTCTAGGAAAGTCAAAAAGTATGAGATTAATTATTTTCTTTTTAGAAGAAAAAATAGAAACGTTCTATATTTTATTTTTCTTATTATTATATTTTGGTGGAATCAAAATGTTCAATTACAAAATTTTCTAAATCATCTCTTAATTGTTATTATTAGTATTATTAATTATATGGCATGTTGTGGATAAATTTGATCATATTGAGTAGTTTATTTGTATGTCTTTAGAGAAAGAATTACGAAAAAACAAGTTAAACAATTAATTGTCTTTAGATAATTTTAAAAAATACTCTAAGGGCAAAATAATTATTTCAATAGTAGAAGAGCTTACGTAAATGTTTTGCCAAACCGATTGAAAATTTATTTTATCATTAAAAGCTATTCTAAAATACAGTTTCCAAATACTAACAAATTAATAATTTAAATAGAAGTGATAGCTTCTACTTCTCTTTTTCTTCTCTGTAAAAACGGAAGTAAAAGTTATGCCAAACGAGCCCTACATGATGGAGAACCATCTTTTATAATTTCTTAATAACAAAAGAATAATGCATGTTATCATAAGACCCTCTCAAGCTCTCATTTGAAATATTCATTAAATGACTCATTTAACTTTTAACACATCAAAAAAAAAATTTGTCTCGATCTAATGTTTAAATAAAGAGTGTTCATGCCTTCGGAGAGAGCTCTTGTAATTGCATTACTCATCATTGTATATGTGAGATGGACTAATTTGTATGGCAATATTTTTGTTACTATTTTTTATTTTTAGGATCATAAACCATTTTATTTATGGGAATTAATAATTAGTGTACATGTAAAATGGAGTATTTCACATTATATATTATATTAATTTGAATGTCAGTATTATCACTTCAAAAATTTTTCTGATTAAATCATAAACCTCAACACAATTCACCCTTTGGATTGTTTTGGTGGCCATGCAGTAAGCTACCAAGTGTGTAGCTCAGTTCAGGGACGGACCCAGAAAAGTATGCGAGAGGGGGCAATTTAAAATATATATTGTGGGGGCAATAGTGAAGTTTTTATTAATTTTAGTACAGGCAAATTTAAAATTTTGTAAACATATAATTTAATTAAGTAAAATTAGTGGGTAAAAAAGCAAAAGAAAAAAAAATGCAGTGGGGGCAATTGCCCCCACTGAGTCCTTCACAAATCCGTCCTTGGCTCTGTTGGTTGGATGGGGATTCATATGTGTTGTGTGCATTTTGATAACACTAATGTCATGACTCATAAACACTTCAATCGTGGGAGTTGGTAAATATTTTTAGATTTTAAATATTTAACTGTGGGAGTTAGTAAATTTTTTTAGATGTCAAATGGAATATTTTATACAATTGTCACATTAATTTGTGTCTCAATGTTATTAATATATGAGTATTTTTCACAACTCTACTAAAAATTTTATATGTTTCTAGAAAGATAAATTCAAAACATTGTAACAATCAAAGGCAGGTTGTCTCACATAAGTAGGGGAAAGAGCTAAGAAATCCACTGCTTTATGAAATGTGAGAAATCCATCTCTTTATGAATTGTGAGACACCTGATTGGTCAGGTGTTGCAATATATATTATTAAAAGAGCAATGTTATTTCAAATGACAACAGTCCCGATTACACAATGGTTTATGGGGCCCACATAGATCACGGCGTATAGTCAGGTGGTCGATTGGAATGTCCAGTATAACTATTCATTTGTTTGATATATAATTTAAAATGAAAATGACATTCCATTTGAATGAAAATTCATTCCATAACTAAACCTATAGAATGACTATTACATTCTTAAGTATTTTTTTATTTATTAAACAAATCAACTTCCAAAAAAAATTTCATGTTCCAAATCCAAAAACCACCACTGCTTTTTACCACAATCATCTCCGCTTTTCATTACCACCACTATCGCCGCCATCGCCTTTCACCACCGCCACCGCCTTTCGCCACCACTGCCGCCACCGCCACCGCCACCTTTCACTACCACTATCGCCTTCCACTGCCACCACCTTCCATCACCGTCACCATTATAATGGCCGCCTTTCACCACCACCATCACCTTCCACCACCACCACCTCTCATCATTGCCAACTCCACTACCACCAACTCCATTACCTTTCACCACCACCACAGTTACCTCCATTGGTTTCCACCACCATAGCCTTCATCGCCTACACCACTATAGTCTTCCACCACCGCTACCATAGTACTGCCATTGCCTTCCACCAACACCACTACTGCTTTCTATCAACATCGCCGCTTTATACCATTGTCACCACCGCCTCTATCGCCGTCCACCCCCGGCACTATCATCACCACCATCCACCACACCATTTATTTTTAAAAATTTATATAAGAATGTCATTTTGTTAATTTAATTTATTTGTTATTAAGTGGGATATTTTTGAAAATTCAATTTGAAAATTTATTCCATTCTAAATTATAAATTGGTCTAACTAAACGCTAAAATAATTATTATCATTCAATTCATACACAAATGACAACATGGCATTTATTTTTTATTTTTTTTATCAAATATAGTATGGTTAACATGATTATTTTTTTAAATAATCACGTGCGGATAATTTTAGACTCTTGCGTGGTGAACATGGTTCTAAGAACTCACTAAATGCCAAGAGGGAATAATATATTTAGGAGGAGAGCAATGTTACACATCTCGAATTTAATGGGATAAAGACAAAAATATTATTTACCTTAATACATATTACATTTTTTTCCAAACATGCAAGAATCTGTGATTATAATTTGATTGTGCTTAGATTCTGCTTCCATTTTCCCATTGAAGAGAGATGCAAGAACTACAAATCGTTCTCTTTATTTCTATCGTATTGTATACACACACACATGTAGATGGTTGAAAAAATTAGGGTTCTTAGGGTTCACATGTAAAACGAAGATTTTAACAAAAATTGAATTCATGCTATTATATTCCTCATGGATTTAAATTATATAAGGATGAAAATTTAAGATAAACTAGAAAAAAAAAAAAGATTTAAAAGAAATGTGGTTTCAAATGAATTATGAATTATGTTGTGATTTAGATTTTATAATGATATTACCTTACAATTTATATTTTTTCTCTATTTCATATCCTACGCTCTCTTAAGGAATTAAATTGCTTTCACAATATACACGTTGTCATTTGAGTTATTTTTGTGATGCAATAATTTGTAATGTTTTACGTTTTTTTTTAAGAGAAAAAACTACCAACAATAAATTTTTTTTTTTTGATGAAGTCCTGAGAAGTAATTACAAATTAAAACTTGAACAACTCAGATATCTGGAGAGTCACACTATTACCAGAAGGTGTGGTAATATATTATCATTAATTAAGAGAAAACAAAAACTCCTATTCTTTTAGTGGTAGTTGGTTTGCCTAGTTTAGAGTCAACCAAGAGATTTGGTATTAAAGTCAACTAATTTGATTATAGAAATATAGAAAGCCAAGTTTGGGAATTGGGTGCATAAAATATACTCCTTATTAAACACATAAAAAAAAATTATATTTTTTTGTGTAACTTATTATGTAGTTATAGTATACTGACTGAGCATTTTGATTTATATATCGACTCCTCAGCCAAAAGAATACATAAAGTTGACCAAAAATTACAAAATAAAGCCATTGCGGGCGAAATCGATGCACTGACTAGGGTCCGTGAAATTCTAACCCTAGGTCCACACCAGGCGATTCCATGCAAGTATGCAACCACACCAAGAAGTTGATTTCAGAAGCCATCACAGTAAGGTTTGATCGACAATATATATATATATATATTTATATTAATATATATCGTTATTTAACTCTTGTTTGTTAGCGTCTTCGCATTTCAACGTTTTTTGGGTTTCCATTAAATTGAAGGATAGAATCATGCCCAATTGAATTGTGACATTCATATTGTTGATTGTGTTATATATATGGCGGTGTTCAGATCTTGCCAGTGAATTTTCATTTCCTTTGTATTTGCTGTGCTTGTGTTTATATATATATATATATATATATATATATGCATATTCGCGTACATTTTCATAAACTGCGTTCTTCTTGGTTTGATTGACATCGTTTATGATCGGATTACGTTATCACATGGCGTTGCTTCAGAATTCATGGGTCCAAGGGAAATGAGGGACAGTAATGTTACACAAATAAAATTTGATCTTCGACAAGACACACAAAATACATACGTGTGTATTTTATTTATTTTTTTGTATACATGTGTCTGTGTTTTAGGCATGTACACTGAAACTAAATTGGGTAATTGATTGGGCATGGTTGAGAATGCGTGCATTATAATTGGGGACTGTTAGGATAGGCTGCTGGATGTACATCTGTGACCAACTTTGGTTTTCATGTCACAAAGCTAGTAACTCGGGTAGGAGTATGTATCTAATGTGTCAAATAGAAGGGCATGACGACACTGCTAATATATTATTTAATATTTTTATTTTAGCTTATGAAGTAAATAATGTCTTTATGTAACACAGTACAGCGTATTTAATATAAGTATTTCACTCGTTTTGAGTAAATAATATAATAAAATTGAATTATTGAATGTATTTTTTAGGTGCATATCAAACCAAGAGGTAATGCCACATATCCTATACCCATGTTCAATTGTGTGTAAGTACCTACTTTTGACTAGTCCATGTAACACAGAATTTTGAAGTAGGAGTAAGGATGCACTGGTTAGTCCTTGTCACCATTTTACATTTAACTGCAATTTACATTGGAAGTTTCTCATTTCTCAATGGAGGATGAGAGTCAAATATATATGACCAATCGTTTTTTATTTATTCAGAATCAGTGGAACAAAAGCAGTTGAATCCAGAACCACCATTGGAATTTTGCTCTCCCCGCGTTAACACGCTTTTATGTCTGAACACCCTTGAGGGCCATGACCGTGTTACTATACATTGATGAAGAATCTTAGTTGTCGTTAAAACTAAACTGAGATGTTGAATAAGGGTGTTGCATGTTACAATCACTACGGAAAAATATTGACAAAAAAAAAAAAAAAAAAAAAAAAAAAACTTGTGGAAGATATATGTAAGCATTTCCTCTCACATTACAGACTGTACTAACTATCAATCTGATATCACCGAGTGACTTGTGTTAACAAAACAGCAAAATCATGGTTCACTGCGTGACAGTGGGGTTCATAATTCTATTACAGTATTAGTTGCAAGTAATGGAAAGGGGAGTTAAATTCTAGACACTCGGAGAGTGAACTGTGTCATGGATTATCATAGTTGGTGATTTCATAATATATATATATATATATTTTTTTTTTGTGTGTGTGTGTGTAAAGAATAGAAAAGAAAATGTTGGTGATTTGGAAATCAAGTGGACCACTAGTCAATTTTTAATTTTATGCAACAACATTCTTGTGACTTTCCACACTAGAAGCACCTTTTATGTCCCTCAATTGTGATTTTTTTCTCCAATTTCACATCCTAGACAGTAGTTTCAGCAGTGCTGACAGCTGCTCAACCCTACTCTCTCTGTTTTTTTTTTTTTTCTGTGACTAAATGAATTTCAAAATGTTATGTTTTGTATTCCTTGAATTCTTCAACTGTTTCTGTTGGGCAGATTTTTGACACTAGAAAGGTGTGCATTCATGGGTAGTGGTTAGCTTTGTGAAATTCGTGGCACTAATAGTACTGTCATGATGCTATCACTGACATTTGTCGTACATTGAAGTGCATTTTATATGTGATGCGTAAGTTACCCAACAAAGATGTTCTTGGGCTTGAAATTCATTTTCAGAGGAATAATATTTCATGCAAAGTTAATGTTCAATGGATTTTGAGAGCAAATTACAAATCTTATAGTTTGCATCTTGTCTAAACTACATTTTGATTCATCCTTTTCACATTGGTTCACTCACCACCATCCTGGCCACCACGTAACCATTGTGCTGCGGCCAATATTCTTTTGTTGCAGTTGCCGCCATAATCACCTTCCCCCATAGTCACTGCCTGTAAGAGTTGCTGCTTCTAGTAACACAATGTTTTCACCAATGCCAATACTATCAACACTGCCATGTTGTTTCCATTGTTACCACAACCGCTACCTCCATTGGTATTGTTGCCATCATCTCATGTACCACCACCAATTATTGCATCTATAATATATGAATGCCCTTGTTATGTCACCGATGCCCTGCCACTGCGGACTTCTGCCATAACTTCTACGGTCCAGCAGACCTACTTCACATTGTTTAAGGCTTGCTGCTGCCTCTGCTACACTACAAATTTACAACTGCTGTCACTACTGAACTTCAAGTATTTTGTCATTGTCACTTTATTTTGACACCGCTTTTGTAACATAACTACTTCGTTTGTTTACATCTTTGTCAGTTCATAGTGGCTCCTACACCTTTACAATGCATACTGCTACATTTTAACTGTTCTCAATGTGATGAAATCCATAATTGCCTTGCCACTGCCACAGTGCCACCTCACTTCAACACCAACAATGCCGTCCTCACTGCTAATGCCGCCTCCACCTCCTTCAGTGGGAGTGAATTTTCTTCAATTGCCTTAGCCACTGTAGTAGATTGGCCATGGGTTTACATTCAAGACCAGAAGTCTAATTCAATCTTACCAGATGTCTTCCATCTATGAATAACTTATTTATTTATTTTTAATAGTAAATGATCACGTGTACATTAATTTTGGAGTCTACATACCAAATGCTATTTTTGCACTCCGCTTCAGACGAGAATGGTTTTTAGATAGAACGAACAATTATAGCTCAGAGTGACTCCTCTGGAGTCTTCACATAACCAAAGATCATGATCCTCAACAAAGAATATAGTTAAATCCTCCTTTTAACATTATCAAATATAAATTTTTGTTCATGTACCCTTTAACCGGGCAATTGGGTGTTTTAGTATGGACATCGTGCAAATACCACTGTTTCTGTATGGACGTTATGCATATAACTCATTCATTTTTCTTATCTTTGAGTCATTTGATTAAGGAGATTGTTGGAAATTGTGTCTCAAATTCCTATTCTAATTCGGTTTCTATTTGAGTTCTATTGTATTAGGAAATTTCCTGTTAAGCAAGTCTTGGGCTCCAAGGAACAACAATACTAAATAGGTAGGTTTTTTAGTTGAGACTTATGAGATTGAGAGTGGTACATGGTGAAAAGACATGTACGCGGTGCTGGTATTTTGCTGCTATAATATCTCTACAAAATCATAGGGGAATCTCTTCTCATCCATGGTTGTAGGCCGGTTTTGGTTGAACCACGTTATATCTTGTGTTTGTGTTTGATTACTTTGTTGCCTTTTATTCGATCTCGTTGTTTGCGCGCTTCTGCTGCTCCAACAAATTGGTATCAGAGCCGAAGATGTTAGAGATCCAGAAAACACAAGGAGTCTCAACGAGTGCTGCGATGGGTTTCAGTTGCTAGTTGATTCAATCGGCTTGTTAGATTACGATGGTCAGAAAATCATGATAGGTTACATGTCACTTTGAGTAGTCAGGTTGGAGGTTTGAAGTTTGACTGATCGAGCTGCGTACAAAGTGGACAAGTAGTTTTGTGGGAGGATCGTGACATTTTGACATGCAATCCAAAGCTAAATAAGGAACTGGCTCCTTGGTGAGGTCTTATCTCACCTTTGCCAGTGCTTATCCAATTTCGATTCTTCACTCTTTATATATAATTAGATTTTGTTTTAGGGCGAATTGCAAAAAACCCTCCTCGACTAGTGAGTTGCGAAAAATCCCCCTTATGAATAATTTTAGCGAAAAATCCCCCTCAACTATCTCAAGGGGGTGTTTTTAACTGAAGTCCGTTTAATGATTTTTTGAGATAATTTTTTGGACGAAATTACCCGTGATCTTCATTTTTCAGTCCCACCAAGAATATTTTAGTTCGGCAAAGCTTCAAACCACACCAACTAGCCTTGAGCAATATCAATGCATCTCCATGCACTTAGACATACCATACATCAAATTCTCAAGCAATATCGATGCATCTCCATGTATTCAGACATACCATACATCAAATTCCCGATTGGATGTTCCCAACTCATGATTGGGCCTGTTTTCAAACTTTACAATAGCTCTCAAACCCATAATCAAAGAGGATGATCAATCACCAGTGGCCCCAATTGTTATTATTTTTTAGTTTTTTCGGAAGGTACACCAATTATTATTTGCATGTGTATAAATGAACAATATATATATATATATATATATATAATGAAATTATAGACTTTTGCAGGAGGAATTGGATATGAAAGAGAGAGGCAGTGATTTAGTCTTGAATTGCTAAATATATACATGTATATATTATGCAATGGATGATGATCATTGAGGGAAACCAACTCACTTTACCACTGAAGATCAGCGGTAATGGAGAATGGAAGATTCCACCCATCAAGGTCGTTGTCGGCAGAGAGTGAATTGGGGAGAGATGATAGAGTGAATGAGAGAGAGATTATATGGGAATAAATTAGGACAAAAGAGAGATTAAATCGAAGAATTTATCAGAAGGCATACCCTCGAAAAACCCGAAACTTCGAGATTGAAGACGATAAAAGACGGCGCCGGCTAGAAGTTGTGGAATCGTTCCAATCGGCGAATTCCATAACACGAAATCTGCTGCGCCACCAACTTATGTGCAGCACCTCCTTCTAAGACGGTGTTCCAATAGCCGAATTGAGAGTTAGAGGTGGGTCGCCGGTTTTACTAAAGAGAAGCTTGCTAGAACTATCCTCACTGGACTGTTATTGAAGGAGAAAAGTTAGCAAGAAGAGAAAGCTTCAGCGACCAAATTTGATTCCATGAACTTTGGCGTCCAAAGTAGCAGCAGCGTCATAGTCCGGCAAATCCAGAGCTTCAACTGCTAAGTCCAGCAAGCTTCTTGAACCAGGTCACCGGAACTGCGACCTTGTTCAACCCTCCATTGCGACGAGACAACAATGGATTTCTATGAGAGCGACCAGCCTAGCGACCCAGGCTGTTGCCGGGATAAAAACAGTGACCTTATGGTCACTACTCCGGTAGTAACTCCGGCGACCACAACTGGAGCAGGCCCACCAGTGGGCGGATGTCCGGCGATCTCTTGAAGACGTTTAAAGGGTAATTTTGTCAGAAAAATTACCTCACAAATTAGTTGAACGGAGTTGAGTTAAAATCACCCCCTTAGGATAGTTGAGGGGGACTTTTTGCCAAAAATATTCATAAAGGGGATTTTTCGCAACCGGCTAATACTCGAGGGGGAATTTTTGCAATTCACCCTTTGTTTTATAAAATGCAAAACTGATTGGGTTTGATGTTTTTAACATTAAACACGTGTGTTTCGTGCAAGCCAAGCCCCTAAATTTATTGCTTTTGCAAAGTTAATGTCAACAAAGTGCTTAGTTTATCCTTCCTTTCACTTGTGTTTTGTCTCATCATTTCTTTTTTGCTTGTGCTTTTTATGTTTCTTGTCCTTCTCTCCATAGGATCTTCTAATCACCATAGGAAACATCTAAATGCATCTTTACCTTGAATGGCTTCTCATATAGGCTCGAGCCAGAATCCAGACGATTCATTAAATTCCCTTATTGGCACTTGCTTAAAAGAGTTCATGCTTTAAGAACTTGCCCAGAGTGTAGTGTGAGGTGTTTTTCATCTTCATTATTTAGTATTTACTGTTTCTTCGTGCCCTCCTTGATTTGATGATTTTTATAAATCTATTTAGACACGCACCACACATGCACCCAAACAGAGTCTAGTACATTGTTAAATGGTCCAGTTATGTTCTCGTGTATTTATCATCCCTATTTGCTTAAGTTGGGTTAGTTGATTATACAGAGTTCCAAAATATGAATGTATTGACTCATAACTTAATCTTGATTTTAGAATTTTCAACGGTGAATTATATAAAACTTTTAATTAATGTGGCTCTAACTTTCTAAAACAGATTTTTGGGACTCAATAGAAAGAACTTGGGTTTAAAAAAATGGTTAAATAATACTATGCCATGTGTCCCTATCTTATGGTGCCAAGTATGTGGACCTTGGTAGAAGTCTCCAGCAACCACATTCATAATAAGTAGGTAATAGTGTGTATATTTTAAAACTAAAAGAAAACACTTGGGCCGCAAGAGAATAGGACAGGCGGAAGACTAAATTTAGTTATGTGACAAATGGGTGTGACGGTTATGGGTTTTTGCATGGGTACAGGTATCACACATCTCCTTGGATTGTTTAAATTGATGAAAAAAGGAGAGAGATAATTTTTTTTGTTTGGGGGGGGGGGGGGGGGGGGGTTTGTGTGTGTGTTGGTGAGGTCACATGTAGCATTGTATACCTATAATTTCATGCATGAAAGACACCTGTACATATATATGTCTGTAGGACATCATGCCTGGGTGACACTTGGATTAATGGACCACCCCAATATATGTATATCATGTGACACTACCTTCAATATATATCACATAAGAGAGAACAAGAAGGGAGAAAAGGGGACAGTCGGCCGAGAGAGAGAGAAAGAAGAAAAATAGAAAAGAAGAAGAAAAGGAAGATTCAGCTCTGGCCAGATTTAGATCTCGCTGTGGTAGAGAGAGAGACCCGATCAAAGAGAGAGAAGAAGAAAATTTGGAGAGATCTGGAGAAAATTCTAAGTGAAGTCCAAAAAGGTAGGTTCCCTCACCTAAAATTCTTTTCAAAGGCAGTTTAAATTTGTTCAATGTTTTCTTCACTTGTGATATATCAACTAAAGAATTACTGATGTGTGTTTTCAATGATAAAACCACTCGCAATAGGACGAATCCTTGTAGGATAGGGCTATTTTGAGGGTGTCGAACCTCAAGGAGCATGTTGGAATTGTTAAGTATAAAATTGGTTCCGATTTAACTCAAGAGAAAGATTGTTTGGTGATTTTATTACTTCTAATTGCAAATGATATTAAAAACCGGAAATAAACTAAATTAAGGAGAATAGATATCAATAGAAAGGGGCTTAGGGGATTGATTTCACCACTAGCTCCATAATCATGGCCAATTATCATAAATTTGGGGAAATTATCATGATGTGTATCTTAAGAGTCATGTGGCTACAAGCACACAATGATCACGTCAAGAAGATTTACACAATCAATTACTAAGTATAGCTCATCTTTGGTTGGCACGAATTGTCTACCTAATGACTCTAATCTAAGGTGTTGTACAACCCGTCTTCCCTAAGCATTAACTATCAAAATACTTTGTGTAAGCAATCATAATTATCATCTCAATAATCACATAAAATAAGAATGATTTGAATTCAATTAAAACAAAATCAATTTCTAAGACAAGAAAATAATTCCTTTAAAACTGATTATAAACTTTAAAATCCAATTACATTAGTTGTGATTGCTCATAATAATGCAATCAATATACATAATCCAGAAAAGATCCCCAAAAATAAGAACAATCAAAGCATGATACTCGACTAGGGTTACATCAATTCCCTAAGAGATGATGTAGCCCTTTGGGTTCTTTGTGCCATGGATGTAGGTCCTAGTGGCTGAACCACGTAATATCTTTGTGTTCTTCTTGTTTCATCTCTCTCTTCACTTATATTTTATATTTACAACATTTAAAAAAAAAAAAAAAAAAAATAGTTAAACGCAAAATGATATCCATAAGACTTGTTCACCCTCAATCTAGGTCTAAGTTCTTGCCAGTACTTTGAAGAATCTTGGGTAACGGTCCAAAGGTGCCATCAATATCTTTACTTTGAATGGTTTCTCATAAAAGCTCAAGCCAAAATCCTGCCTATTGATCAAATTTCCCTTACATGAGAATTGGTGGCATTTGGGAAGAGGAATCATGCTTTAAGAACATGCCCAGAAGGAATCATGTGGTATTTTCCATCTTGTGTGTCCGTGTCCATGAGTTTGAAGATCCGATAAATTTATTTTTTCAGACACACACACGCACGCCCAAGTCTGAGTAACATAGAGTGTATGGTAGATGTGACAACCCGAATTTTTAATTTTGGCGTTTATCATGATTAATGACATTATTTTACTTGAGTATCATATTTAAAGACTTATTTATATCATTGAGGTGTTTTAAACATTTGGGTAAAGATGGATTTATATAGAACTTTAGGAGTTTTATTTAAGGTCTTGGTGTAATTTATTAGTTAGTGCGGAAGGTTGTAGATTATCAACAAATTAAGGTAGTGGGAATCAATGTGGCAGCTCTTGGATCCTCACTACACATGTTCTTATTTTGTAAAATTATAGAGATACGTTTTTACATTAAGCTTTACACATGTTAGCCATGCACACAAACTCTACTACATAGTAAGTACCTTAGTATATATAAGCTGCCAGCACAACTAAACTCACACGCACAACACAATTCGTGTGTATAAATTATATAGATACATATTATCTAAATGGAACAAGCTTCAATTAGAAGCTGTTTTTGAGGACCTGACTGACCCACACAAAAGAAAATATATAAGTTTCCTTTGGATGCTACTGTTGAAGAAGGGAGTTTGCTAGAGGAGGAAAAGGAAGAAGAGAGAGATAAAGTCCTGCTAGAAAGGAAGAATTATTGCTAGCTTTTGATAGAAAAGATAGTACAGGTAGAGCTCTTTTAACTTGAGTTGCTTTGAGTGGGTTTTATCAACTTCTACTTTATTGCTATGGAAATATCTGTGTTAGTAGTTGTATATATTTTTGTCCAAATTGGTATGGGTCTATATTTTAATCCTGTTGTTCTTTCATTTTATACTTGAGCCTCCTATCCAATTTTTGTGAAATATATCCGTTTACCGTACATGTTTGCTTTGGTATACGAACGGTTTTACATATTTTCTGAAAAATGTATTCTCATGTGTAGCAAACCTCTTAGAAACTCGTGTTAAAATTTCTCGTACTAGGCTTTGTTTCACCCACCATTTTTCAGGTACCAACGGATGATTTGGAGGCTTCGGGAGTTGCTGAGTTTTTTTTTGGAGACAATCTTAGTACGTACATGAATTATTTGAGGAATTTGATGTATTGAGGTTAGGATCGAACCATTGATTGAATGTTCCGTGTTGTACCAGATTTTGGTTGAGTTATCCATGTGTTATTTGTGGATATTGTATTGAGGTTCATCGAATTGTATTTGATTAGTACCTCATATTCTGGGTCGTTACAGTAGGATTAAGGGTACCTGTGATGTACTGGTGTATTTGCCATCCCTGTCTACCTAGTTGAGTTAGTTTATCATTGAGAAATAAAAAATGTGGTTGTATTGACTCATAACTTGATCTCAGTTGTAAATTTAAAATGTGACTTTGATTAAATTTTTAATTGATGTTGCGTTTAATTTCCAAAACCGATCATTGCTTTTCCTTTTGTAATGTTTTATCTTATTAAATGTGCTATTAATTTGGCTTTAAATTTCGAACGATGGGCATACAAGTGGCTTGCATGCCGAACCCCTCAATAAAAAATATCTTGTATATTTAATGTCACTTACTGAGGTCTTATCTAATCTTTGCTGGTGCTTACCCAATATTGATTCTTTACTCTTTATATTTTATTACCTTTTGTTTCATAAAATGCAGAACTGTCTGGGTTAACTTTTTTAACATTAAACATGTGTGTTTCGTGCATGCCAAGCCTCTAAATCTATTGCTTTTGTAAAGTTAATGTCAATTAAAGTGCTTTGTTTGTCCTCCTTTTCACTTGGGTTTTGTCTGAAAAAGCAAAGTTAATGTCAAATAAAGTGCTTAGTTTATCCTTCTTTTCACTTGTGCTTTGTCTCATCATTTTTTTTTGCTTGTGTTTTTTTATGCTTGTGTCTCTCCATAGAATCTCCTAATCTCCAAAGGAAACATCTAAATGTATCTTTACCTTGAATTTCTTTTCATATAGGCTTGAACCAGAATCCAGACGGTTCATTAAATACCCTTATTGGCACTTGCTTAAAAGAGTTCATGCTTTAAGAACTTTCCCAGATGGAAGCATGAGGTATTTTCCATCTTCATTATTTAATATTTTCCATCTTCATTATTTGATGATTTTGCTATCTTTTGTTTAGACGCACACCACGCACGTACCCAAAAAGAGTCTAGTACACAATTAAGTGGACCAGTTATGTTCTCGCCTACTTGTCATCCCTATTTGCTTAAGCTGGATTAGTTGATTATACAGGGTTCCAAAATATGAATTATTGACTCGTAACTTAATCTTGCTTTTAGAAATTTCAGCGGTGATTTAAATAGTTTTTTTTTAATTAATGTTGCCCTAACTTTCTACAACTGAATTTTCTTTTTCTTTTTTGTCATGTTATATCTTACTAGATGTTCTATTAATTCGAGGTTAGATTTTCTAACAATAGGCGTGCAAGTGGCATGCAAACTTAGCCCCTCAATTTTTTCTTCTTGCATATTTAATGTCAATTGGTTATACACTTTCAATTCTACCTACTCTCTGTATATTTTTCATACGTAACTGATTGGGATTTAACTTTCAGACATAAACATCATGTTTCATGCATGCCAAGTGTAACGGGGGCGCTTGTCCATTTATCCAAAAGCTCAAGCTGTTAGGTAGTGGTGCATACCCACCCATTTATACACACTTCAACCCCCATTCAAATCCGATGTGGGACAAGTCCTACTTGTAACATTCTCCCCCACCCGAACCCGCGCAAAGTCCTCGTTGCGGTTGGGCCACCCTACCTACCTGGGGCTAGACCCGAACGCCCCCCGAGCCGGGCGCTTGGCGTGATACTAAATTAAGGACTGGCTCTAGCTCCGATACCAACTGTAACGGGTGGGCTCTTGCCCATTTACCTAAAGCTCAAGCTGTTGGGTAGTGCTGTATACCCACCCATTTATACACACTTCAACCCTCATCCAAATCCGATGTGGGACAAGTCCCACTTGTAACACCAAGCCACTAGATTTTTGTTACTTATTTATTTATTCAATTAATTTTGCCTTATCTTATGCTTCTTTTTATCTGTGCCTTGCCCTATTATTTTCTTTTCCTTCTGCTTTTTATATTTCTTGTTTCTCCTTGTATATATTGGATCTCCTAATGCCCCATAAGATAACCCTTAAATTCATCGTTAGTAGGGATGCACACGGTTTAGGTTCACAGCAACGAACTCAAATGAATTGTATTTTTGGTTTGAATCTGTGTGTACTGGTTCCGTTCACAGTTAGGAGAAAACAGTCCAACCCAAACTGAACCGTAACTTGTATATGCATGAATACTTGTTTTCTATTAATCACTAGATAGCATTTCTTAGCAAGAACTTCTGAGTACTAGATGATGGATATGTATTTTCCTTACAAACCTTAATTTCTCAGTCCCTCACTCAAACACAACATACCTTAGCCCCCAGAAGCTTCTTGACACACTGTATTCTCAATTGTTTGATTCCTCATTATGCTACTGTTGTTTTTGTTATCCAACCGCTATTCCCGTGATCACAGCACTCACTGCCTCATGAAGCAACAACTATTATTTCCCTTTCCTTCCTCTTCTTGAGCCGGTGTCTTAACCTCACACCTCACTTTCACGTATTATTTCCCTTTTTTTTTTTTTTCCTAGTTCAAAAAACTTTTCCTTCCTTCTTTTCTTGAGCTGGTGTCTCACAACCGCACACCTCACTATCACGGTCCTACTCTAGTGATCCCTTTTTCAGTTGACGCCTATCGACCCCCTTCCTCTCCTCTTCCCCTTAGTCCATTAGCTGAGCCAATAAAATCCTCGATGTGAAACTATTTTGTCAAATCCTTACCCCCACCACCCTTCGAATTCTTTAACTTCAACAATGACATTATCATCGTTCTTGGTGAGTACGTTTATTAGTTAGATTGTTAGATTCCCTCATCTCATTAGGGGTTGCGTAGATGAAGTTATATGTATGTTGATGTTCTTTGGGCTAATTTTAACTCGTCATATAATACAACAATCTTTCAGAAATTTTCCTACAAATGTCTAATTTAGGAACAGTAAAGTTTCCATTCCAAATTTGTTTCTTTGATATTCCTTTCGGTGTCTTGATGTCAGGATACCATCAATTTCTATCAATCATATGTGTTTTCCCAGAATTATAAAAGAAGAGAAGGATTTTTTCCATGATCCACTCCTTTTTATATGTAAGATGTATACATAATTCTGATTGTTCGTGTTTATTCAACTGTTTCGGATTTTTATTATAATTTAAACATGTTTTAGGACTTATTCTCAATTTAATCATTTATAAACTATAACTGTCATACTGATTTGGGCTGGGCTAGTCAATGGATTGTATTAGTATTCAAAAGCCCAATATATAGAACTAAATCTATCGAAACTAGTCTCATTTGATTTGGATATGTTCAGTTTGATTCCATTTTATATGGAATTGTTAGGACCGCTTTAGTTATGGTTTACCCCATAAATCAAACGAACTTAATTCGTATGTTATGCACCTCTAATATTCTTTCTATTAAATGGTTTCTTGTAGAAACTTGAGGCAGAATTTGGGCAATTCATCAAATTCCCTTACCACATGGGGATATGTGGCATTGGGAAGACGAAATAATGCTTTTAGAATTGCACGTAAGGAAGCATGATAGTTTCTTTTTATTCATTAAATATTTAGCCGTTTCTGTGTCCTTAAGTTTGAGGATTTTATAAATTTGTCATTGAGACGATAATCACCACGTACCCAAGTCCGTTTAACTCCTGAGTTAGAGTTGGTTGTCGTTTGATAAAATTAAAAATTTAGTAATGACAATTTTAAAGAGCTGAAGTTTTAAGTGGTATTTGTAAATTGAGATTTTTTTTTTTTTTTTTTTTTAATATAATTTTTAATTTTTAAGTGTTTAACATTTGTCATCGTCACTTAAAATTTTTAACTTTTTTTCTGTGGCACTTATTTTTTAAGTGATATTCAAATTTCTCTATCAAACATGCTTAATTGAATATCACTTAATCCATTCAGAATTATGTGTTCAATTGGGTTATTAAACAATTTTTTTGTTGATTACATGGAGCTGGAGAACGTGGTTGTATTGACTCACAACTTTGTCTTTCTTTTGAATTATTTCAATCGTAAATTTGACTAAATTTTTAATTAATGTTGCTTTGACTTTACAAAACAGATCTCAACTTTTTTGTAATTTTATATCTTAATAATTAAATAATCTTTATATTTGGCTTTAATTTATTTAAGCACAATTGTATGAGTGGCAAACTGGCAATTATGCTGATATTCATTGTCAACTAATGTGGCCTTCTCTCTCTCCTCTTTTATTTTTCATCTTCACTTGTGCTTATCCATTTCCTATTTTCCCTCTTCATTTATTTATTTATTTATGTTTTTATTTTTATTTTTATTTTTATTTTTATTTTTTTGTTAAAATACATGATTGAATGGGATTTCATTTTTCTAACATCAAGCGTGCATGTGTCCTGCGCCGGGCCCTTTCTTATGTTTTGTTTTATTAGATACATAATTGAATGGATTTTCACTTCTCTATCATCATGAGTGCATGTGTCGTGCATGCAGAGCCCTTAAATTTGTGGCTTTTGTAATTATTTGGCGTTAATTTTGTTGGAAAGGAGAATATTCGGCTGAGATTTATTGCTGATCTCTAGGGATTGCCTAGCTGTATTTTATGTTTAAATGTAGGCCTAGTCAATTTTGTAAATAAGGAAAATTACCTAGCTGTATTTTATGTTTAAATATAGGCCTAGTCAACTTTGTAAATAAAGAAATTACCTAGCTGTATTTTATGTTTAAATATAGGCCTAGTCAACTTTGTAAATAAGGAAAATTAGTTGTATAGTTATTCTGTTCCTTTTTTAATACCTTGTATAGCCTATAAGTAGTGTACATGTATATCATTTTCAGTATAAATGAAATACCATTTCACTAAAATAATTCTCTCCTAATTCCTTGTTGTTTGATGGTATCAAGGCAAGAACTTTATTTCTGACTCTTTTTTGCATTCCGAAAAAAATTACCAGGACTTATTCCTTGATAAACTCCACATTTTTTTTTTAACTCTCAAATCGAAACCCTAGCTTCTCACGATGTCTGAAGTCTCATCTAAACCTCCTGAAAACCGTGGTCCCAATTCTGATTCGCACTCTGTTCAGATAACCATTATACGTCTTAATGGAGACAATTTTCTGCGCAGGTCTCAATCAGTGCGTATGTATATTCGAGGGAGAGGAAAGATTGGGTACCTGATTGGTGATACAAAGGCACCTGATTTGAAGGATACGACTTATGCCACTTGGGATGCAGAAAATTCCATAATTATGACCTGGCTTGTTAATTCCATGGATGAAGACATCGCCTCTAACTATATGTGCTATCCACTTTCACCAGATGTATTCTGACCTCGGCAATCAATCCTAGGTGTACGAACTGCAACTACAACTCGGAGAAATTCAACAAGGGGGAGACAACGTCACCAAATACTTCAATATGTTGAAAAGGCTGTGACAGGATCTGGATATTTTCAATGACTATGAATGGAAATCTCCATATAATTGCAATCACCACAAGAAGACAGTGGAAAACGATCGCATCTACAAATTTCTTGCTAGTTTAAATGTAGAATGGTGGGTCGTCACGGCACCAACGTTTAAAAGTGCACTAAGAATGTGAGTGTGCAATGTGGCCAAGTTTTAAATTTATAAAAGCTACTACTACCTCTAACTAAAAATATAGTTAGGGTGAGTAGGGATCATCCCAAGGGATTGTGGGTGTGTTTGCAATGGAAACAATGTATAGGGTTAGTAGGTCAGGTGATCAAAAGATGGTTTATTTGGTTGATTAAACTACAATGCAATTGAAATTAAAGCAAGTAAAAGGTAACAATTTAGAATTTAGGTAACAGATATAGCGGAGAGGACTAGAGCTCACCACTAAGCTTGACTTCACTAGACACTAGCAATTGTATATCAATGGGGAAATTGAATTGTAACTTGTGTGTGTGTGACATTAATTGAAACTAGGCATGGATGGCAAATAAGTATAGATTGTCTAGCCAATTCAAATGGAAAGCACAACCTATCAAATGAGACCAAAATCCATTCAATGAAACCACAATTTATGCACACACAACTATCTAGAAGCATACACCATTTGCATTCATAAGTATGGAACACCAAGGAACAAGAATAGATTGTCCACCTATCTATGAATCTAAAACAACTACACTACATCTACACTAATGACATGGAAATTAAACTAAGTGAGCTAAAGGTGTGGCACAATCCATCAAGAAACAAGTGTGAACCATCAAATAAATTACAAAAGTGTTCAATTAAGCACTATGTTTTGACCATCTCTAGATTAACTTCATCCATACACATAGACATGCATAAACTCCACTAAATCTAGAGAAAAACACATGAATCATCCATTCTAGCATACATAGACATATGGTTAGAAATAGATAATCAATTGAAAGCATTAATCCATACACATCAAGTGAAAACTACAAGATATATATATAAATCCAAGATCAAAACATTTATTGCAAGCAAATCCCCAAAAATATACAAAACACTAGTTCTAGGAAGCAAACTTAGGGGCTACTCTAGCCCCAAGTGGATGTCTAGCCACTCATTGAAGTAGTCATCCAACCCTTAAGGGCTATCTCCATGGTAGGAGTGACCTCTTTCTTGATGGAAACCCTAGAAGAATGGAAGAACTCCCAAAGATATGTAAAAGCTCTCTAGTCTCTAGCCTCTAGCCTCCTCTCCAAGATATGATATATGATATGTGTTATGAAGATATGTTCAATCTTTCTCTTAAAATGGCTCTAAATCCTTATATAGGAGGCTCAAATGTCACACCCAATGGTCTGGATTCGTGCACTAGGGTCCTTGCAATGATTGCACCATGAGCCAACTTTTAATGAGCTAGAATTTGTTTTATTTCGGACTTGAGGAGGTTCGATCAATCGAACTGTGTTGAGATCGATCGAATTGAGGTGAGATCCATCGAATGATGCAAAGATCGATCATCCTTGGCGGCGCCTTTTTGAATAAAGACAAATCTCTGAGTTATTTTGGGATATTTTGGAAAAGAGACAAGAGTGGTAGGTGGGGTGGTAGGTGTGGATAAGATCGAATAATTTCGATCGATCTGAGAAAGGTTGGATCGATCGAAGATGGTGAGATCTTTTGGATAAGGACAATTGCTTGGATCCATCTTGATATGTCTAGATCGATGTTACTCTGATCGATCGAAGGAATGTTGAGATCTATCGAATTTGCTGCTTTTCCACACTTTGCTTCCACTTTGCTCCTTTCTTCCATTCAGCTTGAGATTGCTTCTTTTAAGCTCTTATTTGGCTGAATTAACTTATTTTTGGGATAAGTACCTAAAAAGGGTAATAACATGAAATTAGTCTAAGACGGGAAAATAAGATAGATAAAGGTCCTAGAATACCTAAGCTTAAGAGGTTTAATTGCGCACTTTTCAGCGCTCATTATAGAATTTGATGAAGTAAGGGGAAGGATCATTGGTCGTGGTCCTCTTCCTTCACTTGGAGAGGTATTTGCTGAAGTGCAGAGGGAGGAAAGCCGCCGTAGTGTTATGCTCGGAAAAAAGGGGGCTAGGGCATCGATTGAAAATTCTGCCCTAGTCGTTGCTGATGCAAATGCGAGTAGAACTTCCAATAGCCAGCGCAGAGCCGAGGACAAGCCTCGGATATGGTGTGATTTCTGCAACAAGCCCCGCCATAAACATGAGACATGCTGGAAGATTCATGGCAAACCCGCCAATTGGAAGAGCAACGAGCCTGGAGACCAATCTGCTCGTGCAAATGAGGCTGATGCTGGTCCCTTCGGTAAAGAGTAGGTGGATGATCTTCTGAAGCTGCTGAAATCCAATCCAGAGTCTGGTATTCCTTATGTTTCTTTGGCTCAAACAGGTAGCAACTCTAGTGCTTTCTCTTGTCATTCTAGTCCTACACTTTGGATCATTGATTTGGGTGCTTCTGATCACATGACAGATCTCTCTCATGTATTTCATTCTTATTCTCCTTGTTCTGGTAATAAAAAAGTTAGAATTGTAGACGGAAAATTTTCATCTATTGCAGGAAAAGGCTCTATCAAAATTTATGAAAAAATCACCCTAAAATCTGTCCTTCATGTCCCTAATCTTGCCTGTAATCTCTTATCTGTGAGTCAACTCTCTAAAGATTTTAATTGTCTTGTTACCTTTTTTTGACTCTCACTGTGATTTTTAGGACCTGAGCACGGGGATGATGTTTGGTAGTGCTAGAATGGTGGACGGTCTTTACTATTTTGATGACAACTTCCTCGGTAATAAACAAGCTCAAGGCTTTGGTAATAGTATTAGTTCTCTCTCTATCCGTGAACAAATAATGATTTGGCATCTTAGACTAGGACATCCTAGTTTTTCTTATTTGAAGTATCTATTTCATGTTCTATTTAAAAATGTGGATTGTTCATCTTTTCAATGTGAAAGTTGTCATTTATCAAAGAGTCATGGTATACGTATAGTTCAAAACCATATTGTGCCTCAAAACCATTTTACTTAATTCATATTGACGTTTGGGGTCCTTCGAAAATTACCACATCTTCTGGAAAAAAATGGTTTGTAACTTTCATAGATGATCACACTCGGCTATGTTGGGTATATTTGATGAATGATAAATCTGAAGTTGAAAATTTGTTTAATTTTTTTTTATAATATGGTTGAAATCCAATTTCAAACAAAAATAAAAATACTTCATTCTGATAATGGAACTGAGTATTTCAATCAATTTTTGGGAAATATTTTAAAGGAAAAGGGGATTCAACATCAATCTACTTGTAGTGATACTCCTCAACAAAATGGTATTGCTGAGAGAAAAAACAGACATTTACTTGAAGTTGCACGTGCCATTATGTTCTCAATGTATGTACCAAAATATCTATAGGGAGATGCTATTTTGACAGCAACTTATTTAATAAATAGAATGCCTACTCGTATTTTAAAATATATTACACCTTTAGAGTGTTTCAAAAACTTCTTCCCTTAATGTCGACTTTTCTCTGACTTACCCTTGAAATTTTTTGGGGGCACTGTGTTTGTTCACATACCTAGTAGGCTTCGATCCAAACTTGATCCTAGGGCAGAAAAATGTGTGTTTATTGGTTATGCGCCAAATAAAAGGGGATACAAGTGTTATAATCCTAAAACAAAAAACACTTTTGTGAGTATGGATATCGTTTGTGGAAAGTCAGCCTTACTTTGGACAAAACTGTCTTCAGGGGGAGTAGTGAATAATGAAGCTCAGTTTTGGGAAACAACTGCTCCTCTACCTAATACCTTGGTTGTTCCTTTGCCTAATACCTTCTTTCCCATACCTGTTCTTGATCCTTCCACCTCTAATAATCAAGACCTCAGTGCTCCGTGTTTACACTCGAAGGAGTACTCATCAAAAAAATAAAGACTTGCCTACAACTTTAGCACAAGACCAACCACTGTCTCCGAGTGATGGTCCATCTACTACTCCAGGTAACTCTAATCCGTCTTTGTCAAATTCCACTCCTACTGCTTTTGATCTTGACGTACCTATAACACTTAGAAAGGGAGTCCGAACCTGTACAGAACATCCAATTGCTAAATACGTGTCTTACCATAGGCCTTCTAAGTCTCATAAAGCTTTTACCTCAAAAATCTCCCACCTATTTATCCCGAGAACCATTCAGGAAGCTTTAGATAATCTGGATTGGAAATTGGCAGTTTTGGAAGAGATGAATGCTCTGAACAAGAATGGGACTTGGGAGATAGTTAACTTACCTAGGGAGAAGAAGAAAACGGTAGGATGCAGATGGGTGTTTACAGTTAAGTGTAGAGCTGATGGAAGTATAGAAAGGTACAAGGCACGTTTAGTGGCAGAAGGATTTACACAGACACACGGTATTGATTACCAGCAGACTTTTGCTCTAGTCCCAAAGATTAATTCAATCCGTATCTTACTATCCTTAGTAGTTAGTCTTGACTGGCCATTACACCAGCTAGATGTAAAAAACACATTCTTAAACGGGGATTTGGAAAAGGAAGTCTTTATGAGCCTACCATCGGGGTTTGAAGAACGTCTTGGTGAAGAGAAAGTGTGTAGGCTAAGAAAATCCCTGTATGGCCTCAAATAATCTCCCAGAGCATGGTTTGAGCGATTTGGGAAAGCTGTAAAGGGCCACGGATATACACAAAGTCATGCAAATCACACTACGTTCTATAAGCACTCAAAAGAAGGAAAGATTGCTATTTTGATTGTTATGTTGATGATATAATATTAACAGGTGATGATCATGTTGAGCTCAAAAGACTCAAGAGAGTTCTTGCTGATGACTTTGAGATCAAGGACTTGGGAGCCTTAAAGTATTTTCTTGGAATGGAGTTTGCCAGGTCTAAAAAGGGCATCTTCGTGTCTCAACGAAAATATGTGCTGGATTTTCTTGGAGAGACAGGTCTACTCGGTTGCAAGGCAGTAGAGACACCAATTGAACCTAATTTGAAGCTCCAATCTGCTAAACCCGAAGATGTGAAGAACAGGGAACAATTTAAGAGGTTGGTTGGTAGACTGATTTATCTGTCGCATACTCGCCCAGATATAGCTTTTGCAGTGAGCATGGTAAGTCAATTTATGCACTCACCAGGTCCAGAACACTTCGAGGCTGTGTACTCCTTAGGTACTTAAAGGGATCACCAGGGAAGGACCTGCTGTTTGAAAAGCACGGTCACCTACAAATTGAAGTATATATAGATGCAGACTGGGCTGGGAGTATAACCGATAGAGGTCAACCTCTGGCTACTGTACTTTTGTTGGAGGAAACCTTGTTACTTGGCGTAGTAAAAAGCAAAATGTGGTGGCAAGAAGCAGTGTTGAAGCCAAATTTAGATTAGTTGCCCACGGAATTTATGAGGTGTTGTGGGTTAAGAGAATCTCAGACAAACTGAAGGTCTCAAGTCCCTCTCTGAGAAAGGCATACTGTGATAACAAAGCAACAATCTCAATAGCACAAAATCCTGTTCTATATGACAGAACCAAGCATGTTGAGGTAGACAAGCACTTTATCAAGGAGAAAATAGAGAACGGGCAGATTTGTATGACCTATATACCAACTGATGAACAGATTGCAGATGTTCTTACAAAGGGTCTGTCCAAGTACCAATTTGAGAAATTGACGGGCAAGCTGGCTATGGAAGATATTTTCAAACTAGCTTGAGGGGGAGTGTTGGAAAGGAGAATATTCGGCTGAGATTTATTGCTGATCTCTAGGGATTGCCTAACTATATTTTATGTTTAAGTATAGGCCTAGTCAATTTTGTAAATAAGGAAAATTACCTAGCTGTATTTTATGTTTAAATATGGGCCTGGTCAACTTTGTAAATAATGAAAATTAGTTGTCTAGTTTTTACGTTCTTTTTTTAATGCCTTGTATAGCCTATAAGTAGTGTACGTGTATATCATTCTCAGTATAAATGAAATACCATTTCACTAAAACAATTCTCTCCTAATTCCTTCTTGTTTAGAAATTTATTTAAGCACAATTGTACGAGTGGTATGCATGTTGAGCCCCTCATCTTTTTGTTCCTGTATAGTCAATGTCAACTAATGTGGCCATCTCTCTCGTCATTCATTTTTCTCTTCACTTTTGCTTATCCACAGGACCACATCCTATTCTTCCCTCTTGATTTATTTTTTTTATCTTTTGTTTTATTAGATACATATTGAATGGGATTTCACTTTTGTAACATCAAGCGTGCACGTGTCGTGCCTCGAGCCCTTTCTTATGTTTTGTTTTATTTTTTACATAATTTCTTATGTTTTGTTTTATTTGATACATAATTGAATGGGATTTCACTTTTCTAACATCAAGCATGCACGTGTCGTGCATGCAGAGCCCTTAAATTTATTACTTTTGTAATTATTTGGCTTTAATTTATTTAAGGACAATTGTACGAGTGGCATGCATGCCGAGCCCCTCAGTTTTTTGTTCTTGTATATTCAGTGTCAACTAATGCGGCCCCATCTCATCATTCATTTTGCTCTTCGCTTATGCTTTATCCACTTGCTATTCTTCCCCCTTCGTTTATTCTTTATGTTTGTTTTATTAGATACACAATTGAATGAGATTTCAATTTTTTAACATCAAGCATGCACAAGTCGTTCTTCGATCCCTTTCTTATATTTTGTTTTATTAGATACATAATTGAATAAGATTTCACTTTTTAAACATCAAGTGTGCATGTGTGTTGTGCATGCCGAGCCCTTAAATGTATTGTATTTGTAATTTAATGTCATGTAGTGTGGCCTTATCTCACCTTTCTTTTGACTTTTCTTTGCCTTATCTTTTGTTTTCCTCGTGCTTTTTATATTTCTCATTCTTCTACATATAGGAGCTCCCAATGCCCCATAAAATAGCCACTACACATATCTTGTCCTTGAATTTTTTATCATCAATGCTCGAATTGCATTCCAGACCATCCATTCCCTTGTCGTTCCGTGAAATGGTTGGCATTGGGAAGAAGAGATTTTGCTATAAGAACTTCCCTTATTGAAGCATGAGGTATTTTCCTTCTTGGTTCAGTCAGTATTTAGCTATGTTTTCGTGTCCTTGAGTTTGAGGATTTGATAAATTTGTTGTTTTGACACACACGACACACATACCCAAGTCATGTAAGACAGAGTGTGGAATAGAATTAAGAGTCAAGTTATATAATAACTTATTTCCTATCCCCAACTACTAAGTAGAGTTTGTTGATTATAATGAGCTCTGGAATGTTGTTGTATCAATTCATAACTTCATCAATGAAAAGTTTGATTTAAGTTTGATTAAATCAAATTTTCCATTTATGTCGCTATAACTTTCAAAATCTGATGTTTTCTTATCCTTTTGTCATGTTATATATTATTGAATGTTCTATTAATTTGGCCTTAGATTTTATGACAATGGTCGTGAAAAGTGGCATCCATGCGAAGCCCTTCAATTTTCTTCTTGTATATTTATTGTGAACTGATGCATCGTTATCACATTCTATGCATGTACTTATCCAATTCCAATTCTTCCCTCTCTGTATGTTTTTTCTACATTTTGTTTTATTAAATGCATGGCTGTTTGGGATTTAGCTTTTTCTAATATTAAGCATGTACATCTTGATGCAGAGACCCTAAATTTATTGTTCTTGCGCACTTAATGTAAATTAATGTGAACTTATCTGTCCATCTTCTTACTTTTGCTTTGCCTTATCTTTTATTTTTCCCTTGTGCTTTTTATATTACTCAGTCTTCCCTTTATTTATGGGATTTTCTAATTCCCCATAAAATAACCTACTATTAAATTTGACTTTTACTTGAATGTATTCTCATCAAAGCTCGAAGGAGAATCCAGGCTTCATCGAATTCTCACCGTTCATGGGAATGGGTGGCGTAGGGAAGGAGAGATCATTCTTCGAGCACTCACCCAAAAGGAAGCTTGAGGTATTCACCATCCCGATTCATGTAATATTTTAGTTGTATCTCCTTGTCATAGGGTTTGAGGATTTGATAAGTTTGTAGTTTAGACACACCACTGACCACACGCATACTCAAGTCCAATGTAGTAAGTATATGATTAAGGGGACAATTACGTACTTGTCTGTTTTCCATCTCCATCCCTTGAGTTGAGTTAGTTGATTATACAGAGCATTGGAATGTTGCTGTATTGACTCATTAATTTATCTTGCTTTTAAAAAATTTCAATAGTAAAAAGTCATGGTTTTTAATCAATGTTGCTTTAAGATTCCAAAACTTATCTCTGCTTTTCTTTTTTGTAATGTTATATCTTAAACTATTCCTATTAACTTGCCTTTTAATCTTTTAACAACGGCTATACAAGTGGATGCATGTCCAGCCCCTTGGTATACAAAACTGATTGGGCTTTAACTTTTTAGGATCAAGCGTGCACATTTCGTGCATGTAGAAGCCCTAAACTTATTGTTCTTGTACATCTTAATATTAATTAATGTGACCCTATCTTGTGTTTCTTTTCACTTGTGCTCTCTCTTATCTTTTCTTTTTCGCTTCTGCTTTTTTTATTTGTTCTTCCCTCTATGCATAGGATCTCGTTATACCATATAAAATAACCCTAAAAATTTATCTTTACCTTGAATGACTACTCAATAAAGCTCAAGTCAGGATATTTTGCTTTAAAATTTTTAAATGTTAGATCTGATTATACCACTTAAATGGTGGTTGAAGATTGAAGGAATGAGCAGAAGATCTGGTTTTATATACTGAAAGAAAACATATCATAAAAGCACCGATGGATAAAAGGTGGGCCTTACAAAGAGAAATGATTCCCATAGAATCTACAAAAATTATTTAGGATATCTATAGGGATGCAAAAACTAGAGCTTATACTATATGAGAGACTAGTGAATTTTCTATAAAAGCAGGATTACACCAACAAACACTGCTAAGCCCGTACCTGTCCACAACAATTTTGGATGAAATAACAAAAGACTTGCAACAAGGCATTTCGTGGTGCATGTTATTTTCTAATTGACAAAGTTCTACCAGATACTTCAAATTTAGCTCTGGCAATAAAGAAAAATCCTAAAAGCGAAGAAATACGTTGGGCCAAAAGGCCCAAAAAGTAGTACGACTTTAACATATTATATAAAATGTTGATTTTTTAAAGTTTTAGAGTATTATAGTATAATGAAAACGGTTCAAAAGCAAAGGGTTACTTAAAATAACCATTTCCAATATTTAGGATCAACAATACAAAGGATAGGGAGATAGATAGTGATATATTTAGTATGTGGATCAGATATGTGATAAAAGACAAGTTCAAACATTTTTTATTTTTATTTTTATAGGACAATAATTAGACTATCTTTTACAGAATAGAATGTTGAGCATTTAAAATGATACAATAATTTATTTAGGTAGCTGAGATGAGAATGTTCACATGCATGGGAGGTGTGATTTGAAGAGATATGGTTAATAATCAACAGACGAGAGAATAATTAGGAGCGACATCTATTAGTTAAAATAAGATAAATTAGACTAAGGTGGTATGCACATGTACTATGTAGATTCGTAGATGCGCTGATGGAAAATAGAAGATTAATTTGCATAGAGATTAGAGACGAAGAAACAGATCAAAATTAACATTGATCTCATTGTGAAAGATCACTAGATAATTTGTGGGTAGAGCCAAAGAGAGTGCACTATACAAGTTTGTCGGTTCTAGTGTATCACCATTTAAGAAGTAATCATAGAAAAGTGGAACCCACTCTTTCTTTACCCATTTTATATTTGTTGTGTATTTGATACCTAGTAGAATTCAATTTATTCTTTCGACGTGAAATGCCTAGAGAAATGAAAACAAATCATGGTTGAGAAGGTTATGGTAGTCCAAAAAATAAAAAAAAAATGGTTCTTTTTGTGTTAATCCTGCATAATCTCCAATGTTACCAATTTTAGTAGATATAAAAAATATTACAATGCGAGCAAAAGTTCCTAGATTGATGGAGATATAAAACATGTAAGATATCATGCTTGTTTATCCATTATTTGAGTTTCTAATAGTTATTTCAATAAAGGTAAATTGCAAAAAAAGTACAAAAATAAAAACCTGCTATATACATAATGCGCAAATATCCCCCTGGTTTTCAAAAAACTCCCTACATTTTTCAAATTGAGCAAATAAGGACGATTATTCAATTTGAAGATTGAAAAACCTAATATGCCCTTAAGACAAAAGAAAAATAAAAAGAGTAAATTACACTCGCCTCCCCATACAATTTTAGAAAATTACACTCACCTCCCCTCTAAGTGACTGACATGGAAATTGAACATACCAATTTACTATATTGACTTTACTACAAAATTAATTTTAAATTCAAAATCAACATATTCTTGCAATAAACCTTAGCTATTTTTTTCCTGAATTTTCTCTCTCAACAAGACCCACGATTTCTGTCTCACTCCCTCACTTCTTTCTCTCTCCAAGACACACAATCTCTCTCTACAAGACCCACCATCTCTCCCTAAAGATCATTGTAGTGTTAAACCAATGTCTTGTGAGGACTTTAAGTATTGTTCTGTAGTGATCTTTCATAGAATGTGTATATCATTATTTTGTGTCTATATAGTATATATTAAATAACCGTGTGTATATACAAACCTAAATGTATAACTGTGTGTAAATATATAGTTGGATCATTTTTAACATTAAACATACGCTGAGATCCATTTGGTTGGAAAATTTGTGCTGGTTTATAGGAGTTGAATTGTTGTTGACTTATAATTAATTACAGAATAGAATAATAAAATATAATGGAAGGATGTAAACATGGAATATGATGAAATTGAAGTATAACAAAGAAAAAAGGTGTGTGTGTGTGTGTGTGTGAGTGCACAACATGACTTCGTGTTTCTTGTGGGTTCTTCAAATTTAACACAAAAGTGTCTACAATAATGTAAACCCTAGGTGAAATCACCCCAAAAAAAGAGATTTGGGCCATTTTTAAAGGCGGGAAACCATTCAAATGGTGCTCATATCTGGTCGTGTCAATTTACAATTGAATTGCTGTGTGAAGTTATATAGGGGTTATATTACCTCCAATTCTTTTTTATCACTCGTGTGCTACTAAACTGGGAGCTGTCAGAAGTAGTGATGGAAAAGACCAGAGAGGGAGATCAGTGAGTCGGAACAGATAGAGTTGGTGGACGAGGAGATAGAAATGGAGGGGGAGCTAGGATGTACAAGAGGAGATAACGAGAGAATAGGAAGGTCCGCCTTAGGAGAGTGAACTTTTAGAGAGAAAGTTAGAGGTTTCACCAAGAGAGAGATTGAGGAGAGACAACTCGTTAGAGAGAGACAGTTAAGAAGAGGTGAATCTTATATAAGGATGTAAATGTATTTTTACACAAGTTTTAGTGTGCAAACGTGTCCTCACAGACATTTCAAACACCCTTAAGGTTATTTTGGGATTTTTATAAAAAAAAAATGGTCAAAATTGACTATCAGGGGTAATTTGCTCCAAAATTTTAAAATACAGGAATTTATATGCACATTCCAAATAGCACGATGTTTCTTGCACATTTTCTATATAGTAGGGTTTTTCTTTTTTTTTTTTTTTTTTTTTTGCACATTACCTTTTTCAATAATTACATATATGTTTTTACCTGATATGTAAACATATAATAGCAATGGTTTATGATAGAAAAGAATGGACAAAGAAAATTTATGTGGCTGGTCTTATATATATGGGAATGGGATAAAGGCAAGGATGATAGTAATGTTGTTTTGATTACATTCTTTAATTAATGTGGCTTTGATTTTTGCTTCCCACATTTGTTAGTTTGGCAAATCAATGTGTTACTATGGAATACAGAATTTATACATATGTGCTATATCTTAAAAGGGAAAATTAGATTTTGGTAATCAAATATTTGTTTTGGAAAAAAAAAGGCTTTAGAGTGACGTTAAACTCAAGAAAAAATATATAGTAATAAAATTTAAAAAATAATTGTCAATTAGTGACCCTTTAAAATTTAAGGTACTAAATATCCTTCTATTAAGAAAATTATTCCCACAGTAAGTCTCTTAACAAAAAACAGTCCGTCCCGTTGAATTGCGGCTTCCATTTTAAAATAGAGCTTCTTCTAATGGATCCTTCATTTGGCATTTGAACAGAGAGAGTGTATCTCCCGGAGTGTAGTGCACAGGCTGGCTCACTCTAGGTTCTCTCTCTCTATCTTATATTACACGCACACACACAATACACATGTATGTTTTATTTCTGCACTACTTAATTAGAGTGTTGGATTAGGATCCATTTATCTTCTGAGAGAATGCAGGAAAAAAAATGAATTTAAAATGTTGCTTTTCTGTTAGAAAAAAAACGCGATTACTCCTTTTAAGCTAGATTGTTATATAAAGATTCAGTTTTCATTTCCTTATTTTCAATAATTTTGTTGGCAATGGAACGGAGCTTATTAATTTTGATGGATTTTGAGGCAGTGGCTTGATTGACTTCAGTTATGGACGAGACGAAATTTGTTAAAGCTTTGAGAAACGGAAATTTGATTGCGCTTTACAGATGTATATTCTCCCATTGCTTATAGGTGCTAGTTGAAGAAGACGATCGAGGGGCTCCGAGCTTTCTGTTTGAGTCCGTCGAGCTTGGTTTTCGAACTTTGACTGCTGTGTAGTCTTCCGATGGTCACTTATTGTTTCCGGTGTGATCCATTGGACCAGACGGTGGTTGGACATCTTTATTTTGATGTCGAACATTCTGCCTTCATACTTTGTATAAACGATGTACCATTTTCTGGTAGTGTAGAGGTCATTGCATATTACTGTTCTGCTACAATCTAGAATCCACAATTGGATGCTGCCTTTGAGATGGAGAATGACTACTTTTAAGTGTTTTATGAATTATGAGGTTGACCACATGCTAGTGTAACTGCATTTATGGAGATGGTTAAAAAACATTGATACACCATGTAGTTATTACCTGTGTTGTGTACTGTGTGTTGTCTTTTTCAAGGAGAAACTAAAGGAGACTGATTACTGGGCTTTTGCATTTTTCGTTTTCATAACACAATAATATATATATATATATATATATATATATATATATATATATAAATGGTGATATCATACATAAATATGAGAGATTCAGAATTTCCGATAACATAATAGAATTCGAGGTAGAGTGAGAGATGGAACCACAGGCAAACTCGAGAAAGAGGGTGGAGATGGCAGTGTAATATTACACCATTGACTCCCTAGATGAAGGTGTGTGGAGAAAGCATGTTAGAGAGCTCTCTATGTCATTTCCTCCCTTTTTGGCTCTACCCCTCTGCTTGGCCTTAGAGCACCTCCTTGTATAGGCCAAGTGAGAGGTTGGGTGATGTCACTTGACATCACATGTGGCCCATTATCATTATAAAATAATGCTAATTAAGATAGGTCTAAATTGTATAAGAGTTAAAACGGTATCTCTCTTTACGAGTCGAGGATTGATTCGACGAGTCCTAAATTTTATCTACCAAACAAATAATCTCTTTGGATTTCAAGTAATCTTGAGTCTTATTCCCAACTCAGGTTTTGAAGTCTCAAATCTTCTGTTCGTTCGAAGAGGTATACTGATGACGTGATAATTGTTTGATCAAATTATGTGGGTGGGCCATTGTTGATGATATGGCATGACTATTTGATCAAGTTATATGAGCCACGTGGATTGAGCTATTATGGACACCTACATATCCATAACGTTAGACATGGAAGGTTTATTAATGATTTAAAGCCATGAGCTGTGATATGGACAATCCCCAAGGAAACCCCATGGTTGACGGTTCATAATGCACTTGGTTGCTGACTTCAAATAGCGTTGAACTTGTGTGTTCTATTTGGTTAGGGATGTCAATTTAATCCCTTCTTTATTATATTTTTTTATAAAATTTATCTTAAATTTGTTAAACTTTGAATTATTTCTCAGTAAAAAAATAAGTATAATCCAACCTGACTCTAATGTGGGGCAGGTTTGAGAATAACCTTTTATTTGTGGGACAAGTTTGGAATAAGAGTGACCCATTCGTAGGCATTCCTACATCTTATGTCTATCTGTAAATGTTAAAAAGTGATCTTAAATTTTCTATTCTGCAAAATTCCTAAAAAAATTAAAATAATCTTAAACATTCAATCTCTTCTTGGGGGATTCCAAAGACGTGGCTTATAAAAGTTGACTATGGATGCTACATCTAAATGTGATAAGAAAAAAAGTATTTGCAAAATATTAATAAGAGGATCCAACAACCCATTTATTAGTGGGTCCAAATCATTAACACGTGAGGTGACGTTATTTTTGTTCGATTATATTACAACTTATTAACCATTAGTTATGAAAAAAAAACTGTTTGATTTATCACTCAATATATATTTGCTTTAATAGGTTGTTGAAGAGCAGTGCTTGAAAAATTGAGTTACAATTTTTGTAAAAAAATTAAGATTTTGTAAAAAAATTGTAACAATATACAAAAGTGTAGAACAACTAGGACCACTACCAACTGAGACCGCTTTTCCATATTGATTATTGAATAAAAGAGCAAACCAGCAACACAAGAATAATGGCACTGCCCCCGCGGCTTGGATGAGATGGGTGGGGGCTAAAATTATTGCTGCGGTGTGGGGCATTTGCTCTCACGTTTCAAAAGCACCAATTTTATTCCCAAATCAAAGAAAACAAAACAAACGACATTCAACCCCATATAAACATATTTATCCATTACATATTTTGGGTAAGCTTTTCAATGACATTAGGTTCTGAAGTTTGATTCCAAATAAATTTCTTGACATTTTGCACAGAAAATATGAGTTTAGAGTCGATACATCTTAGTTTTACCATGTAGATCACCTCAGAAGGACACATCAGTGAAGGAAGAATTTTCTTTTTGCATACAACAAAAAATTTCTAATGTGACATATAGCTCCATGATGCTGCAACTAGGCTCTAAAGAAGTAAATTAATCTATTGCTTCGAAGTAAATAACTAAATATCCACAAGTTTTAGAGAGATTTCACTAATCACTGCATATGTCATAATTCTGAAATTAAAATCAGCTAAGGCCTTCGTTTCCTATCATCTTCCTCATTGTCATCAGAATCGCCACTCTCACGGAAACGTGGATTCTTCTCCTGTCATCACCAAAGCAATCTGTGAATTTATTTGTGCGACAAACAAGTATCATTCTTAAACTATAGGTTACCAGAAAAAATGAAGGAAAATGTTGCTCATCAGAAACAATGAAGTAAAGAAATATGCATAAGCAATGAAGGCATTGATCGGCATTTCCATTTCCTTCCCCTCATTTTCTAAATAAAAATCTAGCTAAATTTTTAAAATCAGAAACACACCCAAAAAAATTGAAAAACACACAAGGGCCTTGGTTTCTGCACCATCATCTACAATCATGAGAATTGCCACCTTTTCATCAACCAGAAGGTGTTGCTGCTTTTTACTGAAATATGGCATTCCTAGAGTTTAAGTTGAATGACAGCCTTACCTCCACCATATAGCGTTAACAAAAATTTGCTAATCAAACTGTTGCCACACACACACACACACACGAAAAAGAAAAAAAAAAGAGACCAAACTATGAGAAATTACCAGTCTCGAGTCATGATTGGAGTTTCTCCGAGATTCATGAACTGAACTTCTCTTTAAGATCTCCGGTCCACGGCGGTCATCTTACCGATGTCTCTTGCGAGGGTAATCTCAAAATAAATAAAATAATAACAGAGATATCAACAGTAAAATATTTAATTAAATAAATAAACGAGTGGCTTCACCATACTCAGAAAAAGTGGCAGGAAAAGAATATTTATAAAGAGAGCCATAACTATACCCTGTCGATAAGAGCCCCCGTGACCATGATTTCCACTGTGTCTGCCACCACCTGGAGGTGTTCAATGTTAGAAGTTGCAGTAACAGAAGCATTTCCAAAAATGCACTTGTACTTAACTTCATAACTTTTGGACGCAATGAGCAAAACAAATCAAGCTGCATATAGATAAGTTTAACAATAGTAATAATAATAATAATTATTATTACTATTATTATAAAACAAACTACCTCCATGCGTTCCCATTCATCAATAAAATAAACATGAATTTTCACAGTTCAGGTGCCAGTATGAAAGTAGCTACAAATAGCAGAAGGACGAGAAATCCTTTGCCTTGAAGAAAATATAAAAACAACGAAAACTTAACTCGCCTCAAATCACTCCTCGTGGGGGATAAAATTGTAATCTGAATGTAATAATGTAGTAGCTGAAGGGTTTTCAACCAGAGAAAGGCTAGATGTCAATGGTAGTATCTTGTGTTTTATCAGCGCACACATGCTTCCACCCAAACTCGAACCCCTAACCTCGCTTTGAAAAGTAGAAGTCAGTTTGATCGCATGAATTCTTTTTTTTTTTTTTTTTTTTTCTTTTTTCTTTTTCTTTTTAAGTAATTTCACAGCATGTATTACATCATTTCATGCTCAAAAAGTGATTGGGGCAAAATGTTGGAAACTCAAAAGCAGTCCCCAAGAGACAATTCAAATTGCGTGCGCGCACGCGTGTGAGAGAGAGAGAACTTTTGAGAAGGAGCTAATACATCATTCAGGACTGATCAAGTCCCATCAAGAAGTGCATGCATGTAGCTAAGCCTCAACCCTGATTAGTTGAGGCTGGGTATGTCAAATTATGATCCAGCATTACATAATAAGAATAGTTTACAATTGGTCCCAGCTTGATGTCAAATCTTTTTGAATGATGCAAAAAGTTCCTGGAAGGAAGTCTCTAAGTGCAAAAGAAAGTGTAGCACAACGATATAAAAAAAAAAAAAAAAAAATCGGCAGAAATAATCTTTGAGCCTGGAACATCTGCATCAATTCAATATTTATTATGATTTTTTTATATATATTTTAAACTCCGGATGAACCCAATCGTCCGCAAACCAGGTGTATCTTTTAAATCCACACCCTCAACTTCAGTGAGACTCGAACGAGCGACCTAACGGGGTGTACCCAAAGGCCTTGCCAGTCGAGCACTCGAGCTAGCCTGTTCCGACGATTTTTATGTACTTCGTCCAGGGTAAAGTAAGGAAAATAGAAAGAATACAAATAGGATGATCAAGTCTGAAGATGATTATACAGACATATTCCGACTGGCTAGTGGTTTCCAATACTTTAAGCCTGTCAAAATGTTTATCCAAGATCACATAAAAAGAGGTATTCATTTCTCTGCAGAAGTCTGATAGTCCTGAACTATATTCAGCAATAGCACTGAATGCTTGGTCAATCCTTTCACATAATCAGTTACATTTCCCGATATTTCCTCACCTCAAGTAATTTTTAATTTTTAATTTTTTTTTAAGTAAAAATTTTACTAGAGTTAGTAAAGGCAAAATATGATAGCATGTGGATTGACTGAGGTTATGACTTTAAATAGATCGGAATGAAAATATGGGATTCATGTAGCCGACCCCAAATAATTGGGAAAATACTTGGTTGTTGTTGTAAGTAAAGATTTCAATAGAAACGCTCAAAATAGGAGCTCGCCTAGGTACTACAAAAACCAAGGTTCTCTTCTCAGCCACAACGACTATACAATCAAGCTATTGACAAAATCACTACTTCATTGCTACTTTAAGGTCAGGTCCCTAATATATATTTGTTGAAAAAGAGATATTCGATTTTAATAAGATCAGATTTTAGGGGATATGATAGGTGTGTAAATATAGATAGTCAATGACTAAGATTAGGAATTTTTGTTAGTGTACAGCCTGTAACTTCTGTTAGTGTACAGCCTGTAACTTGCTGTTACAGCCTGTAGTTTCCTTTTGTTAGCCCCTTGTATTTCCTATTTAACTAAAGCATTGTAAACCATTCAAAGTACGGCAATATACAGATTCTTTTCAATTTTGAAATCGCTTATTTGGTATCAGAGCATCTTATTGATTCTTCTGAAAAAAAAAACCCCTAGCCTTCTTTTTTTTTTTTTTTTTTTTTTTTTTTTTTTTTTCCAAACA